TGGTTATGCATACATGCATATAAGTACTGTGGTTTATCTCTCCCCTCCTACCCCCTCTTCTGGGGATTGTCAGTCTGTACCCTACCTCTATGTCTCTGGGTCAGTTTTGTTCATCAGTTTGTTTTGTTCACTATATTCCACAAATAAGTGAGATAATGTGATAATTGTCTTTCTCTGCTTGGCTTATTTCGCTTAGCATAATACTCTCTAGGTCCCTCCATGTCATCTCAAAGAATAAGAGATCTTTCTTTCTTACAGCTGCATAGAATTCCATTGTGTACATATATCACAGTTTTTTTATCCACTCATCTACTGATGGACACTTGGGTTGGTTCCAGATCTTAGCTATTGTAAATAGTGCTGCTATGAACATGGGGGGTGGGGTACATATATTCTTTCTGATTGGTGTTTCAGGCTTCTTAGGGTATATTCCTAGTATTGGGATGGCTGGGTCAAATGGCAATTCAATTTTTATTTTTTTGAGGTAACACCATAGTGTTTTCCATAGTGGCTGCACCAGTCTACATTCCCACCAGCAGCGTACTAGAGTCCCCTTTTCTCCACACCCTCGCCAGCACTTGTTGTTAGATGATTTGTTGATGGCAGCCATTCTGACAGGTGTGAGGTGATACCTCACTGTTTTAATTTGCATCTCTCTGATGATTTGTGAAGTTGAGCATTTCTTCATATGTCTCTTGGCCATTTGTATGTCCTGTTTGGAGAGGTGTCTATTTAGGTCCTCTGCCCATTTTAATTGGGTTCTTTGTCTTTCTTTTGTTGAGTTGTATGAGCACTCTATATATTTTGGAAATTGCCCCTTATCTGATATATCATTGGCAATTATGCTCTCCCACATGGTTGCCTTTCCATTTTGATGATTGTATCTTTTGCTGTGCAGAAGCTTTTTAGTTTGATGTAGTCCCATGTGTTCATTTTCTCTTTTGTTTCTGTTGCCTTAGGTGATGATGTATCAGTGAAAATTCTGCTGCGTATGATGTCTGAAATTTTGTTGCCTACATTTTCTTCTAGGAGTTGTATGGATTCATGAGTCCCATTTAAGTCTTTTATCCATTTTGAATTTATTCTTCTGTATGGTGTAAGTCGATGGTCTAGTTTCATTTTTTTGCATGTAGCTGTCCAATTTTCCCACCATCATTTATTAAAGAGGCTGTCTTTACTCCACTGTATGCTCTTGCCACCTTTGTCAAATATTAATTGAGCATATTGCCTTGGGTCCATTTCTGGGTTCTCTGTTTTGTTCCACTGGTCTATATGCCTGTTCTTGTGCCAGTACCAGGCTGTTTTGAGTACAGTGGCTTTGTAGTATAACCTGAAATCCAGTAATGTGATCCCTCCTACTTTGTTCTTCTTTTTTAAGATTGCTGTGGCTATTCGAGGTCTTTTTTGGTTCCATACGAACTTTTGAAGTATTTGTTCTAGTTCTGTGAAGTATGTCATTGGTATTTTGATGGGGATTGCATTGAATCTATAGATTGCTTTGGGTAGTATGGACATTTTAATGATATTAATTCTTCCAATCCATGAACAATGTATGTGCTTCCACATTTTTATATCTTCCTCTATTTCTTTTTTCAATGACCTGTATTTTCCTGCAAATAGGTCCTTTTATTTCTTTGGTTAAGTTTATTCCTAGATATCTTACTTTTTTGCCATGATGGTAAATGGGATTGCTTTTTAAATTTCTCTTTCTGTGAGTTCATCATTGGTGTACAAGAATGCCAGCGATTTCTTTTTTTTTTTGTACAGATAGAGTGGGAGGGAGAGAGAGAGAAACATTGACGTGAAGAGACACATCGAGTGGCTGCAACCCGCACGACCAACCAGGGCCGGGGACAAACTGCAACCGAAATATGTGCCCTTAGCGGGAACCGAACCCGGGTCTCTCCAGACCGCAGGCCGACGCTCTAACCGCTGAGCCAAACTGGCCAGGGCTGCCAGCGATTTCTTGATGTTAATTTTGTATCCTGCTACTTTGCCAAATTCATTTATTAAGTCTAGTAAATTTTTGATGGAGTCTTTGGGGTTTTCTACGTATCTCATCATGTCATCTGCAAATGACAGTTTCACTTCCTTCTTTCCAATTTGGATCCCTTTTATTTTTTCTTCCTGTCTGATTGCTGTGGCTAAGACTTCCAGTACTATGTTAAATAAAAGTGGCGAAAGTGGGTTCTTTATTGATTTTAGAGAGAGAGGAAGTGAGAGGGAGAGAGAGAAACATCGATGAGAGAGAACCTTGATTTGCTGCCTCCCCCCACTCGGGATTTGGCCTGCAACCTGGGCACACACCCTGACCAGGAATCAAACCAGTGACCTCTTGGTACACGGGTCGTAGCTCAACCACTGAGCTACACCGGTTGGGCAAGAGATTTATACTTTCTTACATTTTATTTTACTAATTAATTCCCTTTATTCTCAACTTTAAAAAGTCACTTTAGCCCTGGCCGGTTTGGCTCCATAGTTGGAGCATTAGCCCGTGGTCCAGAGAGACTGGGGTTTGGTTCCTATTGGGGGTGTGTGCCTCGGTTGCAGTTTCTCCCCAGCTGGTTGGGGTTGTGTGGGTGGCAACTAGTTGATGTGTCTCTCTGACATCGATATTTCTCTCTCTTCCTCCCTCTCTCCCTCTTAAAATAAAAGTCACTTTAATATTTCTTGTAAGGCCAGCTTAGTGGTGACGAATTCCTTTAGCTTTTAAAACTTTTATTGTTGACAGTATTACAGATGTCCCCTATTTTCCACCTTTTTGCCTCTTCTACCCAAACCTGCCCTCCCCCAGAGGCCTTCCCACACTATTGTCTGTATCCATAGGTTATGCATATATGTTCTTTAGTTAGCTTCTGCCTATCTGGAAAACTATCCTTCAATTCTGAATTATAACATTGCTGGGTAGAGTTTTCTTGGGTAGAAATTTTTTTCTTTTTAGCACTTTGATATATTGTGCCACTCCTGTCTGATTTGCAAAGTTTCTTTTGAAAAATCTGCTCATTGTCTACAAGGGTTCTCTTGTACCAACAAGTTGTTTTTCTCTTGCTGCTTCTAGATTATTATTTCTTAATTATTGCCTTGAGAGACAGACAGACATTGATTTATTGTTCTATTTTATTTATGCATTCACTGGTTGATTCTTATATGTGCCCTGATTTGGGGATCGAACCCACAACTTTGGCGTATCTGGATGACACTCTGAGTTACTGGGGCCTAGATTCTTTTTTTATCTTTTGACATTTTAATTATAATAATGTCTTGGTGTGGCTCTTTTGGGTTCAATTTATTTGGAACTCTTTGCGCTTTCTGGGTCTGGATATCTGTTTCCTTCCCCAGTTTTGAGAAGTTCTCAGCCATTATTTCTTCAAATAAGTTTTCTACTCCTTTCTCTCTCTCTTCTGAGACCCCAGTAATGCAATGTTATTCCATTTGATGTTGTTCCATAGGTCTCTTAAGCTATCTTTCACTTTCTTACGTTCTTTTTTCTTTTTGCATAATTTACATCAAAATTCTGGTCTTCTTGGACAATATTCAACTAGTAGTATAAAAAAACGGATATCAGGTATAAGAGAGCAAATGACTTTTTCAATGCAAAATGAATAAAAGAATCTACAAAACAAAGCACAGAATTACATTTAACACTAGATTAAGAAACTTTGTTTTCTGTTAAAATGCCCGAGGGCACTAACCTTCCTTATTTTAGTGCCTATAACACTGAGTCTATCAACAAGTCTTGATAATGTTATGTATTTTTTTTTCCCACTGATTTTTTTAGATAGAGTGGGAGGGAGGGAGGGAGGGACAGAGACAGAGAGACATATCGATTGGTTGCCTCCCACAAGACCCCAACTGGGGCCAGGGATCTACTATAAACAGAAAACTAGGAATGTTTTATATTCTTTAGAGTGCAGTGCACATAGTAATTATTCAAGTCCACACTGATTAAATGTTGTTTGCCTATTATTACAAGTGTTAAAACATATTCATACAGACCTGGGCCTTGAGTCCTGTGTTCCCTACCTAGCAGGCTGTGTGGCCTTGAGTTACAACTTTATTAAGTTGCAGTTTCTCATCTATAAAATGGGGATAATACTAAGTGAAAGAAGCCAAGCAGAAAAAGACAAATACCACATGATCTCACTTATATACGGAATATAATGAACATAACAGTCTGAGGAATACAGTAGACCCAGACACATGGAAGTAGGGCACAGACTGACATCCCTCAGAAGAGGGGATGGGGGGTGGGGAGGTGGGAAGAGATAAACCACAGAACTTATATGCATGTATGCATGACCAATGGACATGGACAACTAAGCCGGGGACAGGGTGGAGGGGGGGTGGGGTGGGGGGGTGCCAATGGGGTAAAAAGGTAAAATATCTGTAACAAAAAAATAAATAAATATAAAATGGGGATAATAGTTCTTGCCTCATAAAGGCAGTGTGAGGTTGATATAAAAACTTTGAACAAGGCTCATGAAATGGGTCTAGTTTGGCCAGCATTTCTATTTTGTATTTTCGTATTCAGCATATTAACTTAATGTGCTTTCAGGCTATTTTTGTGCCTATAAATGCCCTTATCCCATCATTCATGAACAGCTCAACAGAAAAGTCTGAGCCGCCCATGAATATGGCAAAGTGAAATAAAGCCACCTCTGAAGCACCCAAAATTTCACACACGGCCTCACCTATGGTTAAGTCAGGATATTAGAAGTAAATTATGAACCACAACAGGAACAGAGACCCCAAGCTGACCAGTATCAATTCTGTGACAGGAATGGGAGTACTAGTGCTCTCAATCACATACAAATCATTTGGGGAGCTTTATAAAATGCATAATCTGATTCAGTAGGTCTGGAGTAGAGGCTCAGATTCTATATTTGCAGAATTTTCAGTGCAATATTTTGATGTTTTCACTCTAAATACCAAAGATAAATACACTGAAACTGTTTGTAAAAGTTCAAGGTGTATAAAAAAAACAAGAGCCATGTTTGCAAAATTATTTATTTACACTTTAAGCTCACATTAAACATTTACCTAGAATGGCTAAGATGAAATATATAAGGTTGATATACACATTAATCTTTATCTGAGAAGAATCCTGCAGATGGCTTTAGATGAACTCAGGTTTTCCTTCACAAAGCCAGTGTTTCCTTAAATCATGATGTGATGTCTTCCCATAAGAATAAATTTAACACATCTTTCAGAAAAACTGAGAAACAAAAAGCTAACTTGGATTTATTATTAAACAGCTATACATATGCCATAGAATCAAAACTGTTGTATGGTTCTGAGATGTTAAAATAGACCCAAACATGATATAATGAATACATTTTAAATATGGAATGCTTTGGTTGTTAGGCTTTGACTTGGTTTTTGGCTCACTTGTATAATTACATCATTCCAATGAGTCATTTAAGGTAATCTGTTCAAAACTAAACTTGCTTAATACTATTTATCACAAAGCACTGAGCCTTTCCTTGATTGGGAATACCTTAAAGGTGCTGACAGTAGCAACACATTTCTCTTTTCCTTCACTCAGAAAAATATAAGTCACAAAAATAAAAAATTCATTCCAACATGTTAAAATCTGTCATAAAATCTTATTTGTTCATTTTTTTTTTTAAGTTCCTCATAATAATACCTGCCCTGGGTATTTGTACATTATTGAAATACTAGACCTATATCAGCTCCTCTGATACCTTGATGCCTGGGACTTGGTCATCTATTTACGTAAAATATACTTAAGATTAAATATATAAGCAGTGAATTTGAAGCTGCTGGAGAGGATTTGCATTTTAAATAGTTTTTAAAATCTGAGGTTATTAAGAATTTTAGAAAAATAAATAAAATACTGTGGTGGTTCTACCCCTCCCTCCCCTTCTACTTTTCTCCCTTCACAAATTTGAGCTTAAGAGCTCAGGATTCTAAAAAGCAGAAGAAAGTGAAATAGAATGCGGGTTTTACTATCCACATTTTCCTCTTAGTGCAATGTATTATCATCCAAAGGCAAACTTGATTCTCTTTCCTTGAAATGAAGATTCCATCTTCTATGACTTAATTTAAATAACTGTTCTTAGGAAGTCAAAAGAAAGCTTAACCAGTGCTTTTAACAAACAAGCAGCTATAAATGTCTATAAAATAATATATAACTTATGATTTTTAAAGAGTGCTATTATAAAGTCTGAAAGCAAAATCTAAACAATTTTAACAGTTTAATCTCTTTAAAAGGTCTTCTAAAAAGCTATAAGCTATATTATAAATTGTTAGTTCAATTCCCACTCTAAACTACTTTACAAAAATAAACTGCTGAAAAATGTATCAATTAAGGTAACTGTACTTCTTGTGTTGATCTTTTTTCCAGTCTCAAAAGTGCAGTAAAGCAAGAAATCAAGCACCTAGATGTTGGTTAAATAAACTTGCATTTGAGCAGATTTTGATTTTTTATAAAGGGATTATAAATATAGTCTAAAACTTGCCAGAAGGCCACATTCACATTCACTGTACAGCATTTTATATACACATAAACAAATTAACCAACACTTTTCATAATATAAAAATTAAAATACAACATGTGATCACATGCTATGCCAGCTATTTGAGAAATACGCTTGGTGTTCATTTTGGATGGCAATAACCTTGAGTAACTTTATGCATATCACATAAACATACCACAGATACTTAGTTTATTTATGACCTTAGAGTAGGCCTAACCCCAGTTTTAAGTGTAAAAGAGTTTCTGTTAAGTCCCATGCAGTAACAGTAGTAGCATTTACCAGTAATGTTTGCACTGGAAAAGAAAGATGAAGGAAGACAGTAGATATCAAATGCTTTGAGGTGTAATTATAGGGAAGGATTAAAATTCTTTTTCCAGGGGGAAATCAGGATTTTCTGATAAGAACTGTCCAACAATGAAAAGGTTTGTTTCATGAAGGTGAACTCCCTGTCCCACAACCAACTGTGCCTTGTCAGGACTCTTGTAGTGTGGGCTCCTGAGCTGGCGGGCTGGACTAACAGTAGATGGTTAGCCCCAGAGGAGCTCTAAAGTTCCTTGATGCAAATCGTTGTGTTGAGACTGAGCTTCTGACATAGATGTCTTAGGCAGTTTGCTGCTTCTTTTGTTCCTGCCCATAAAGCAGTGTTTGATCTTGCTGTGACACTGCTTATAAATCAATGGGTTTGGCCCTCCCAGGATACATCAAAGTGAATTTTTCTTATCTAATTCCTTTCCCACAAAAACCAGTAAGTGACTGTGATGAGCTTTGTTAGTGTCCTGCACCTAGTAAATCCTCCACCAACTGCTGGCTGATGTAGGCTACAACATGGATTGGATAACTTTTTATCCTCCAGGTAAAAATCTAAAATGTTTACTGTTCTATGAAGTTCTGGTCCTGAGACTGAATGGGAACTCCTACTTGGCACTCAGATGGTATGCCAACACTTATCATGGTAAGAAATTCTTATCAGATTTGAGGTTTAGAGGAATAGAAAGTGTGGAAATATTGAACTATTTAAACAAACGAGCAAATAATAACTATTCCATAAGTTAAAAAAGGTTTTTAACTGTAAAACCAACACCCTTTTTTTTTCCAGAAGATTACATTCACTAAAAGTGTAGAAATAAAAATCCCATTATGGCTCTAAATAAAAGACAAATAAATAAGGTCACATGGTTTATACATTTTAAATTCTTAAAGAGGCCCTATGTTATTTTAGGATGACAGTTTAAAGTATTGTTCCCTGAGTTCTTGAGGCAACCCCAAATGTAACTTCATGAATTCCAAGACTTTAGAAGAGAGAAAACCCACATGGTGTGCCTCTCTCTCTTCTGAGTATCTGTTCTCTAAAGTGGTTTGTCCAGTGCTTTCCTATAGTTCAAATGCTTTGAGAATGTGGCTTTATCCATTGTTTAGAAGACAAACTCCCAAATGAAACTTATAAGAAGAAAAAATAAGGCTATTTAAAGAAAGTAGTTTTAACATTAGTTAACAGTACAGTTGAGTAAACCAGTATATCTATAATACATCAAGAGTGATAATACTGTCATAGGTGTTGGAAGGTCAAGTTCTATAGACTCTGGCTTTTTTGACCTCAGTGGATATTGAGCCCAGTTTCTGTTACCAAGCAGAAAGTCTACCAGTTAATTCAAAGAATGAAACTATTAGAAACATAATGACTTTCCTATATTTAAATGTTAAGAAGGCATACATTTGGTTTAAAAATAAAGATCAAAACAACAAAATTCTATCTCAAACTTAATATTTGGAATTTAATAATTATTTAAAAAACTCATTCAAAACTAGGGTTTTATCTACCTTCTTGGTGGCTACTAGAGTATTTTTTAAAATTTCAAAACTTAGGAATACTTCAGTGAAATGTGTGAATATTTGTTTGCAACTCCTATTAGAGTCTATTTAAAAACACTCATTTCATTGAATGGAGACTCCAACTCTTGCCAGCAGTTTTAGGCCAGGCTTAACTTGAAGCCCTTAAAGGTTTTTTAAATTAAAACCAAAAAAAGGTTGAGAGAACCTACTGAAATTTCCATCCATTTCAGTAAAGTGCACAAACATGAGAGTATCCTTTGGCTTTGCTATGACCTCAAGGGAGGTGTATAAGTCAATGGTGCTGGTGTCAGATTCCTGACTATGTTACTGAGGCTGGCAATCTTCTCTTCTAGAAGGTAATTTTTCTTCTCAGCTGTTTTTTGTCGCTGTTCAGTCACTTCCAGAGCTTTCAACAACTGGGCATTTTCAACATACAAATCCTTCACCATTGCATCTGCTTTAGTATTCTTGCAGAGCTAGAAACAGAACCAGAAATATCTTGACTCCATTTCTGTAATTCTTTTAAGTTAAACTCTGACATAGACAGTTGTTTATAAAGGCAAATGGCTTCTATCAATTTTATTCTTTTATTTTATAATACAGCTTCCACATCAGACTAGCATCAGAGGTACAAGTGGAGCAAATCCACTTATTCCAAGTTGTTTCTTTGCATAATGTTTGTAGAAGTCACTGATAAAAAGAACAAATTGATATTTGAGGGTTCAAAAATGAAACTTTCCCACCTAAATAAGTTAGGTATTATTCCTTTATTTATTCTCTAAAAATATTAAGTACTTTTATAACAAATTTATGAGTTTTTGTAGGGTGTGAACTGTGTTTAACTCTGTTCTTAACAGCAGATGCTTGAGTTTCCCATTCATAACTACAAACTACTGATTATTTCAAAGCATGGCTCCTGTATTATAACAAAGAGATAAGATTTGGGCAGTTACTTTCCCTTAACTCTTCCTCTTTTGCATAGCATCTTGTCTAGAAGATATATTCTAATATTTATGGTTAGAATATATAGTGTAGGTTAGGGTGGAAAACTTGTCAGCAGCCTTAGGATAATTTTATTACAGCTTCTGTTAATATTTTCTAGTCCTTCGTCCCTCATGATACCTTTAACTCCTCATTTACATCAAATTTCAAGCAGGAACCATTCTAATAAAACTTTTTTCCGTCCCTCTCTTCCATTAAAAGACACTTTGATGGTTCTTTATCACCTAAAGAATGAAATTTAGCCCGGCCGGTGTGGTTCAGTGGTTGAGTGTCCACCCACGCACCAAGAGGTCGCTGGTTCAATTTCCGGTCAGGGCACATGCCCAGGTTGTGGGCCCGATCCCCAATGGGGAGCATGCAGGAGGTGGCCAATCGATGTTCTCTCTCATCATTGTTTCTCTCTCTCTCTCCCCCTCTCCCTTCCTCTCTAAGATCAATAAAGAAAAATAAATTCATTTAAAAAAATGAAATTTAAACTCCACAGCTCAGCATGTAAGGCCCTCTACTGCCAACCCCTCCCTATCTCTCCGTTTCTTCTCCTTATTCTCCTTGGACAGTGTTATGACAAACTATTAATCCAAAGTGTTTGCAGATGTCCACACCTCATATGTTGTCATAACTCCATGATGTTTCCATAGACTAAAATGCCCTTCCCACATTTCTTCACCTATTAAAATCTTATTCAACCCACAATACTAGGTTTAAGAAGTCTATAGGAAACTTTTTTCAAACTTCCTGAGTTGCATCAAGTATTCCTTTTCTGTGTTATCCTCTCCTGAACATAGAGTAGACCCCATTTTCTTTATTTTTGAAACTACTACTGGTCAAATACTCAGTACCTTGTAGTTGAACTATATTACATGTAGGCAGAGATTTTATTTTGTTCACTGCTGTATTTCTAGTGCCTAGAACAGCACCTGACACATATTAACAATATATTGAATAAATGAATGAGTAAAAGGTTGAATTGATAGATGCTTATTATACAGGACTTTTTCTTCCCATTCTGTGTATTAAAATATAGGACAAAGGAGAGCTCCTGTTTACCTCTGCATTAAGACCCTCTCTTGGGATTATTCTTAAATATTATGTATCTAGAAAACAGTGTTGGGCAGCTCCTCCTGTCTAACCCCTGACCAGTTCATCTCAAACTTTCCTAGAAACTAGTCATTTTTGCATGTCTCTTCAGTGGATGTACATATAATTCTAAACACAGAGGCCATACCTGCCACCAGAAGGTGAAAAGGTTCAGGCTGCTTAGTGGTCTTGGAGTTCAGGGTCTGGATTCTAGTTCAAAGCATAGCCTTTTGAGTCTGGTTATAGCCATAAGATACTTTTTGAGGTTGTCATAGCTGTTGTAAGCAGGAAAACTAAAGTTCTATATATTATCCTCCAATTTTTTACCAATATAAATTTTTTGTTTATTTAAGTAGGAATATTTCCTGTCTTGGGCAAAAAAAAAAAAAAAAAAAAAAATTGAGTCACTGTTACAAATACACATTTTTTAAATTGTGAACAAACACATACCTTAAAAGAGCTTTGGAAAAATAATGTAGAATACAGAATTCATATTTTTGAAGTAGTATGGGGGAATGTAAATTCTAAATTCTTCTATACATTCATAGAATTTGCCTTTATTAGACAACAATAGTTAAGTTAATGGCAATAAAGGAATGTAAAACTGGTGTTAAAAGTGGAATGTAAGGTGGGTGGGTAGAGATGACCTGGGAGGCTCACTTGTTCTTTGAGCTGATCCACTTTCTCCTGAAGGAGCCTTTTTACTAGTTTCAATTTCTGTTCAACTTCCATCATTCGTTCCTCCATGACAGTTACCAGTTGTTCCTGGTTTCCCTGAAGGGAAGAAAAAAACAGTATTTGAAAATCATGCCACATTGAAATGAAAATACTAGTAGTTTACTTTCCCCATAAGATGCCTAGAGAACGGAGAGCCAATGTTTGCCTCTGTATCAGGAAGGGTAGATTTCTTATGAGATGGGAGTTCTGAACCCTGCATGGGTTACACATGTTAGAAAAGTAATTCTATCTGAGAAAGAATCAAAGATAAAAAAAAAAAAAGAATCTTACCTGTGTTACCATCTTCCCCTGAGATAAAGCAAAAATCTTAAAACCCATAATTTAATAACTGTATGCACTTTTAGTAAAATAGTTATCCAAAGTAAATTAAAAGATGGTTATCAACTTTCCATCTGTGATTTGGGTCTTTGCGATACTGTGGGCCTTTTAACAACAAAACAAAAACTGAGTTTATTCAGGGTTGTCTAACGTTTCCAATCAGCTTGCAATATGCATCTCTGGTTTTCCTTTGAAACGGCTGATTACTGTGAGGGTGCTAGTGTTTCTTCATGATAATCAGCCTCTTTCCAGTTATTCTACTCATCTGTTTCCAATTTGACTTGTTAATGTGAAGCAAACATCTGGATTGGAGGATGGGTTTATCATCTAAACAGATTTAAAAATTAAGAACCTTCTCCCCACAAACAACTCCTAGATAAAATACGGCAGCAAAAGAGCCCTGGCTTCTCTTCTTTTCCTCAAGTAACAGTGACAGATTGAGGAATATGGGGGTTTTAGGGAGAAGAGGGATCTGGAGAGAGACTTAGAGTACAACTGACTACCTCTCCCCACAGTCCACCGAAATGTTCACATAAGGAATTTCAGACTTTAAAAGGTTCTTCAAATGTTAAGCAAAACTCAGGTGTTAGTGGCTGATGGCATAAAAAATATTCTCAAAAAAGCATCCTTTAAAAAGCACACAGAATGACCAAACATGAGTTTAAGCCAACATTTGCTTGGTTATTAAATAAGAGCATTTCTTCAAACATAAAAGAAACAACTAAACCATGTGATTAATTTGAGGACAAAAATCAGAGTAGGCAAAAGTATAATGCAGAAAGTAAATTTCGAGAAATCAGGCTTTGAGAGAATCTAGCTTAAAAAATTTTGATAGTTTAAAAGATATAGCTTATTTTTAAATTTTGTTGTTGTTAACCCTCACCCATTTTTCCATTGATTTCTAGATAGAGTGGAAGAAAGGGGGGAAGGGTAGGAAGAGAAAGGGAGAGAGAAGAAAGAAACATTGATGTGGGAGAGACACATTGACTGGTTGCCTCCCGCAGGACCCTGACTGGGATTGAACCTGCAACCCAGGTAAGTGCCCTTGACCTGGAATTGATCCCAAGACCCTTTGGTCTTCAGGCTGAAGCTCTTAGCGGCTGAGCCAAACCAGCCAGGGCAGATACAATGGCTTTTTAAAATTCAAACATAAAATGGAAAATGCCCAATTTCCACTTGCCTTAAAAAAAAAGCAAAACTAAAAAACAGAACAATAGCAACTAATTAATTCAAAGAACATAGAGCATGGGGAAAGAGGAAAAACAAAGACAGTCATATTTAAAATTTATTTTATTGTTTCATCAAAATTTTCCTTTTCCCTGTCAAAAAAGTATTGTACATCGTATACAAAACAGTATAAATAAACCCTGATTTTCTTCAAATTCCATATATAAAAGTAGTACCTTTTATTAAAAATAGTTACAACATATGGAATGAGAAAATATATAGAATACATCCTTTCAAGAATCTCAAACCCACTCTTTAAATGGTATAAATAAAATGATTTGTAACAAGCTGAAATTTGTGAATTTGATTCACAAAATCTTGTCATTTCTACATAAATAAATAAGAGACAGAATACTGCAAAGGCATAGTAATATTAATAATAATTATTAATAATAATTTAAAAGAGCACTTGATTCCAAAACATTTCTCAGCTTATGTCTCTGTGTCTGTGTAGTATGTGTGGTTTGTGTGGGTGTGTGCATTTGCGTATCTGCCATGGTAAGAAATGCCATCAGTAGCAGCCCAGTTTTCACAGGTGCCCAATCCTTCTGTAGGAATCTGCATGCACTGCCCGCTGCTCCGGTAGCAAGGCCTAGAGAAAGAAGGCAAGTGGTACACTTCACCCTGATGTCCAGATTACGTTTTTTTGGGGGGAGACTACGTTCACACATTTATAATGCAAACAATTTTTAAAGTACACACATTAACACCACATATGCAAGCAAAGCAACACAAAGGCAGAAGAATCATCACTCCACACACAGAGACAACGTGCAGGTTCTAATAATATTCTCAAAATTAGTGTCAGCTCAGTTACCAGAAACAGGAGAACCCATAGTGGCATTCTAGTGAGAGGAATAAGCAGTCCACCCTGCCTTCTGACTGGAGAAATTATTTTTAGTATAAAAATCTTAACCTTTTTTGTCTACCTCGTCCTGAAGTAACTGGAATAATGGGATATTTACTTAAACATTGTTGGGTGGGTTGGGAAAAGCATGCTTTGGAAATAGTGTGAATGAAAAAACAATGAGTAGAGTCTTAGCCTAATCATTGGTTTAAAATGTCCAGTAAAAACTGAGGTCAAGCCTTGGCTGGTCTTGCCTAGTGGTTAGAGAGTCGGCCCACAGACCCGGGGGCTTGGGTTCACTTCCTGGTCAAGGGCACATACCTGGGTTGCAGATTCGATCGCTGGTCAGGGTCGTGCAGGAGGCAACCAATTGATGTGTCTCTCTCTCCCACTCTATCTAAAAAATCAATGGAAAAATATCCTCGGGTAAGGATTAACAAAAAAAACTGAGGTAAAGGTTTTAGCATTCAACTCTGTAATGAGGAGTTGAAGCATCTGCCTAATACCCTACCATCACAATTTTTATTCAAATATTTGAAAACTGAAGTGGAATGTAGGAAGCTTCTAAGAACATGGATTTTAAAGCATGAAAGAAATAAATGTTTTAAGGTTTTGTTGGAAAAATAGATGACAGTAGTACATCATGACAAAGCACAGATATAAAGAGAGATAATTATAGTGTTAATGTGACTTTGCAAAGCCACTTTGAGGGGATTACAGAAAGAGTTGGAAAATTCCTTATCAAATGTCAACTGAGAAACAAAGTATTTGAAAATAGAAGAGCATCCAAACTGGAAAGAAAGAATTTAGGATTCTACAAACTGAGTAAATTTTATTTCTAATTCTTAATAAGCTAACTGTGCAAGAACAAAGAGTTAAAAGCCTTTTGAAAAAGGATGGGTATTAATGAAGCACTAAAGAGAACTACCTATTTGAAAACCTAGGTGATATAAGATGGTGTCTGCTAATAAGCTGGGATAATGCTAGTTGATAGGAAAGGGGAAGAAGATATTTATTATCTTAAAATTAATTTTTTATATAATGTAGTTTGAAAACTCTAAGTGAACTATGTCAACCAGAAAGAGTCACTGACTATAATTTTGGCTTTGTCAGTTGTGAAAAGTCCCCAGTTGTGAATTTCATGGAACTCAGCAGGCTGCACCCCTCTGGTACAAGAACACCCAGGAAGCTTTGTTATATCCTAGAGTTGCACTTGAATTCTGTAATATTTTTGGCATCAGACAAGAATGTTAGGTCAATTGGGCACTATGTGCAAATGATCCTGATACTTTATCATCAATTACAAATGTGCCAAGGAGACCCAGAACACTTAATCACTCAGTTGAGAGCCCCAAAGCAGCACTGCAAAAAACCAACCAAACAAACAAACAAACAAAAGGCACTGCAGTTCTGTGGATTTGTAATACAGGTAAGGTGTAATCGCTGACAGATTTACATCCTTTATCTCCACCTTTCAACTGGTATAACTTCAAATAAACAGATAAAATTAAATTAGGTGATCTGAATTTCTATTAGATGGGGGAAAAGCCTCATTCATACCTGTGGTGTGTTGGTTTCAGAGGTTCTGTTTTCAGATTCCTCCTGCAGGCGCTGGTTTATCCTTTCTGCCTGCAGCAGCTGGTGTTGAAGCTGCAGAAACTGCTCCCTGGGCACCATCGGACAGGCTTGCTGCTGGAGCAGCTGCAGATCCCAAGCGTGAGGGGATGGGCTAAGCATCCCAGTGGACCTCAGGTGCTGCATCTGGAGGACAAGGGCAAGACCCTGGTCAACTGCAGTACCTTCAATCACAGAGCTGCCCTTGGAAGTGTTAAGCAGAGAATAATTAAACCTGACCAACTGATAACTTGTAAATCAGGTTAGCACATGAGTCTGAGTAAAGTAGATGGGAAGAGTAATTTTGCTTAGCAGGTAATATAATTAATAAATCGGTAAGCCTTCTTAGTTTTAGACTTAAGCCTGGCTGGTGTGGCTCAGTGGATTGAGCATTGTCCCATAGACTGAGAGGTCCCGGTTCGATTCCCAATCAGGGTACATGCTGGGGTTGCAGGCTCGATGCCCAGTAGGGGGCTTGCAGGCAGGAGGCAGCCAGTTGATGTTTCTCTCTCACATCTATGTTACTATTTCTCGCTACTTTCCTTTCTCTCTAAAAATCAAATCAATAGAAACATGTTAAGAACAAACAAAACAAAAAAACCCCACAACCACCACCAAGGTTGGAATAGACAACAGGGAAAAAGTGGTTATGCTTTATGGCTTTCCACTTTGCTTACCATTCACAGAGATTCTTAAAAGCAAATGTTCAATGACTACATATTTTTCGAGTTAGCAACATTTTCTTTTCAAAGAATTTTGCATCTAAAATTATTTTAACCTATCTTAGCTTATCAATGTTATACTCTTAAATAGCACAATAAGACAGGCAATTCTGGGGCATAAGAAGGTGTCACAGAACATCTGGGAATTGAAGTACATGGAATAGAAGTATTTGCTCAAGACAATGAGGAAATGGTATGTGTATCAAACGCCAGTCAAAGTTGGGGAGAGGCTAAAGGAGAGGAGAATGCATAGCATGTGGCCATTCACATCTGTTGACACATTTCAGCAGACACAGGGCTCAATGGGAGCATGCAACAAGCATGACCAAGTTCTAAACTCAAGAATTATCCCAGGCTTGTGAGAAGGGGGAAAGGTCCCCTAAGACAACTATAGTGAAATGTTATCATGAAGCTTCAGAGCCATTATCCATTTCTTTAAATTTCTGAGGTGGGCCACTACCTATTTTGAAATAAGTTATACATTCAGAAAACCCACCACTTTATTTTCAGGAATAAAGTAGTATCTGGAGAATTATGATCCCATAATTTTATATCAGCGGATGCTTTTCATCAAACAAGTCTTCAAATACTAAGTTTTAATTACTGAGCAAACTCTTATGCTAATGTAAACACAGACATATTCCACAATTAAAGCAAAAGGAAAATGAATATTGGCTCTTACCTTAAGTACTTATTAATTGTTATGGTCAGTAGAAATGATTATATGTACAAAGAATTTAATGAAATATCTCCATGCTATGAAATTAATTGGAAGAGAATATTCTACCTTCACACACTATCTGAGGCAGAGAAACTGCACCCTTCTCTGCTCGTTCCAACCACAGAGTTCTAGGTACGGGTTAGCCACAGACAAAACAAAAACAAAAGAAAATTACAGGAGTTATAAAAAGAAGAAAAATAGGAGTTATAAAAAGAAAAGAGTACAAATTGGGTGTATTATATACCTAAACATGTGTGCTCTAGTCAGTAAGAACTTTTAAAGGACCAACAGTTACATTTTTCTGTGTATAAATTATACAGATATTAAAAAGTTTTGGAAGTAGGTGGTGATGGTGAATGTACTTAATGCCCCTGAATTGTACACTTAAAAATGGTTAAAATGGCAGGTTTTATGTATATATTTATCACAATTTAAAAAATTAATGTAGTAATCAAAAACCATTGAATTGTGTACTTTAAATAGATAAATTGTAGTATGTGGATTACATGTCAATAAAACTATTAAAGAATCCAATTTGTATAGGCTCATAGAAAGTTAATAGCTCAGTCTTATTTTCCAAAAGAAAGTTTTGTTAAAATAGTGTATAAGATGGTCTTTTCAAACCTAGCTAGTTTGGCTTAGGGTTTAGAACATCAGCCCATGACCAAAGAGTAGAGGGTTTGATTCCCAGTTACGAGCACCTACCTCCATTTGGGGTTCAATCCGCAGTCCCTGTCGGGGTTGTGCAGAAGGCAACCAATCAATGTGATTGATGTTTCTTTCCCTCTCTCTCCCTCCGTCCTTTCTACTCTCTCTAAAAATCAATGAAAAAATATCCTCAGGTGAGGATTAAAAAAAAAAATTCTTTTCAGTGTTCCTATTAAAAACTCATGTTTATTTTTTTGTTTTATTTATTTATTTTTGTTACAGATGTTTTTCCTTTTTCCCCCATTGGCACTGTCCCCCTCCCCCCCCCCCCGCTCCATCCCCAGCTTTGTTGTCCATGTCCATTGGTTATGCATACATGCATATAAGTTCTGTGGTTTATCTCTTCCCACCCCTTCTGGAGATTGTCAGTCTGTATCCTACTTCCACGTCACTGGGACTACGCTGTTCTTCAGACTGTTATGTTCATTATATTCCACAAATAAGTGAGATCATATGATATTTGTCTTTCTCTGCTTGGCTTGTTTTGCTTAGGATAATACTTTCCAGGTCCCTCCATGTCATCTCAAAGGATAAGAGATCTTTCTTTCTTATAGCTGCATAGTACTCCATTGTGTATATGTACCACTGCTTTTTATCCATTCATCTACTGATGGACACTTGGGCTGTTTCCAGATCTTAGCTATTGTAAATAGTGCTGCTATGAACATGGGGGTACATATATTCTTTCTGATTGGTGTTTCAGGCTTCTTAGGCTATATTCCTAGAAGTGGGATCACTGGGTCAAATGGCAATTCAATTTTTAACTTTTTCAGGTAACACCATATTGTTTTCCATAGTGGCTGCACCAGTCTGCATTCCCACCAGCAGTGTATTAGAGTCCCCTTTTCTCCACACCTTCACCAACACTTGTTGTTTGATGATTTGTTGATGGTGGCCATTCTGATAGGTGTGAGGTGATAACTCATTGTTGTTTTAATTTGCATCTCTCTGATGATTAGTGATGTTCTTGGCCATTTGTATGTCCTGTTTGGAGAGGTGTTTATTTAGGTCCTCTGCCCATTATTTAATTGGGTTCTTTGTTTTCCTTTTGTTGAGCTGTATGAGCACTCTATATATTTTGGAAATTAACCCATTATCTGATGTATCATTGGCAATTATGCTCTCCCATTCAGTGAGTGCCTTTCCATGTTGATGGTTGTTTCTTTTTTTCCTCTTTATTTAGCTCTAGTGCCAAGTAAACCCCCTCATCCAGTAGTAAATATTTACTACTAGAGAGAAAAATAATTAGGGAAAATTTTTTAGGATGTCAAATAATTATAAAGTAGACTTGGGAGATAAGGGGGCTTTCGAGGCCAGTAAGAGTCGGTGTGAGAATTGGTCGGTTGGCAGTGTTGGGAGAGGATCTAGTAGTGATTAGTATACCCTGTTACTTTTCAATTTGGTATTAAACATGTCAACCTTTGATTCAGATATCTTATTCATTACAGTATATAATTATTTCATCAGAAAAGCATATCTACATCTAAACACAGCCCACAGCTCAAGGTTTTTTGACACATTTATTATATGCTGTCAGAGAAGGAAAAAATAGTTTGGGTTTCACTATTTATAGTTCACTAATCTTTCTGTTAGTGGATAAATCAGAGGACATAAAAGTGACAGAACCCTCAGTGGTCATTTAAATGTCAATGTGATGTGTTTGCCCATATTTCACATTTAAAACCCAGGCATCTATTTAAAGTTACCTTTGCATGTGCCTGGCTTCATAAAAATATTTAAACATCTCTCTTCCTTCCTACAATTCTAACTTAAAATTTGTATACACAGTACTTTTTAGGAGCACAAAAAAGACGTTTTCTACTCATGCTTCTCTACCGTATATAAATTTTATAGTTCACTAAACACTAGATTAATATTTTTATCTACCCAAAGAAAAGTATCTCCATGAAATAATAACTTCTTAAGGAGGATTTTGTACATAAGTTGTTTTATAGCCTATAATTGTCCTCAGAAAGCAATCTAGTAGACTGAAACCCAATGTCCAGACTGACAAGTTTTACAAATCCATGTTTATATTTAATAGCTGTACCTCTCGCAAGGGAGTACTGAGTTACTAATGTAATGAACAGTGGCAACACTTGAAAGTTAAACTTCTAAATGCTAATATTCTCAAATCCCTTGCATGGATTTCCTAACTGAAGAGGTTGTTAGAGAGCAAACACATCTATACAACACTGTAACATGGAAGGTATCAGGAAACTGTTAACAACCATAGCAATGATGAGAGCCATGGGTCTTTTGGCGTCTCTGCCACTTGAATTTGCTGAGGAACAGGTCTGTACATTTTAGGTTAATCAACATTATTCCATCCTCTGTGAAGCAATATAAATTCCAAAGACTGTACATTATGCTAAAATGTCCATCTAACTTGGTAAGATAGACCAAAGAATTCAGCTGGGCAGTTTACTTAGATTTTCTTTTTTTTTTCATAAGACGAATTCAATGCTGTGCTAGTCTCTTGCAACAAATGGCTCATTCATGGATTAAAATATTCTTCATAGCTAAAGCCATTTGCTTAAAAGCTTACCTCCATTAGCTGCTCATCCAGTTTTACTTGTTTCTTTTTCAGGCCTTCAGTTTCCAAATGAATTGTTTCTAATTCTCGTTCAAGGGAATTCATTTGACTGACCTGTCAAAAAACAAAAAATTCCCTTTAAAGAAACAAAACAAAACAAAAAAAACCATCTAAGTTGCTCTCCTTTATTTTGATAAGTTTACATGTCAGAAATATCAGCTCTTGGAAGAAAGACAAGTTCATTCCTTGAAGGAAAGCAAACAATATAATTCAGTGCATGCATTACAGTCAAGTAATCTAGTTTTAATCACCACTCCTTACATAGAGCAGATTCCTTAAGGGAACTGGCTTTCAAACTTCAATCCACTCACTGAATGAAATACATTTTATCTTGCAACCCAGAAAATATACCCACACCCACATATATGTATATATGCATAATTAGTTATAAGTACATATCACTGAATAAAACTTTCAGAAATAATACTTATCCTACCAAGTACTCTGCTATTTTGTAGTATATTACTTTTATTTTTATTTTTTATCCTCACCCGAGGACATTTTTGCATTCATCTTCAGATAGGGCGGGAGGGAGAGAGGGAGGATGAGAGAGAGAGAAACATCGACATGAGAGAGACACATTGAGTGGTCGCCACCCACACGACCCCAACCAGAGCCGGGGACAAACTGCAACCGAGATATGCGCCCTTAGCGGGAACCGAACCTCCAACACTCTAACTACTGAGCCAAACCGGCCAGGGCGTGTAGTATATTTTATTAATAAAAAAATGCTGGTGTTTCACTAAATCAATTTTATGATTCTCTATTGTGGATCTGTAGTGGAAACAACAACACCTTAAGGCAAAGTTTAAAGATTTAAAACCAGTTACATAAAACCTGGTTTTTCTAACTCCTTTCTCAATTTTAAAGATGAAATTTAAAGACTTTATGAGTATCCATTTTTGGAATTCTCTTTATTACAGGAAGAATCGAATGAGCTAGAGAACACTGAGATTAAGAATACTGCTAAACAGAAAACATGTGACACTATTCTAAACTAGTGATTTTTTTTTGCTTTTACCAAAAGAGATGAAGAGAGTAGCAAGAATGGTTAAACAGAGTGTAATCTCTCAGGTACATTTAAATTCATTTTGTTAAAATCTATCATTAGACTTTTTCCTTAGTGAGCAGCTGAATGATACCCACTGTCTTTCTTGAAAAGTCTACTTGAACGTACCTAAAATTAAATGCCATTTTGGCTTTAGAGCACACCCAGTATTCTTACAGCCACTGTTCATCATAACTTTCACAAACGTAAAAAAAATTATGGTTAAAAAAAAAATTAACAAGATCAACCTATCTTTCCCCCCCTTTTTTATTGAATTTATTGGAGTGATACTGGTAAACAAAATTATACAGGTTTCAGGTGCACAATTCTACAACACGTCATCTGGAACTGTATTGTGTATTCACCACCCCAGTTATGAAATTTTTATAACAAAGTACATGATCATCATTCTCACTAGCTTTTTAAATAAACCATAAGTTTCAGAAGAGGAAAGTAACATGACAACTATGAGTTTTAAAGAAAGCAAGTAATAATAGACTCCCAGAGTAACACTGGTCTAGAACTCTAACTTCATGGAACAAAGAATTGAACTGTGTTACAAAGGTTTAACCATGTGGTAGTTAGCCTCCAAAATGGTCCCCAATGATCTCCACACCCTTGCATAGTCCCCTCCCATATTCTACTAGGGTTAGTCTGTGTGACCAACAGACCACAGCAGAACTAATGGTGTGTGTCATTTCTGCGATTATCTTATAAAAGGTACTACAGCTTTTGTGGCAGTGTTTTGGGCTCTGCCTCTCTGGTTTCACTCACTACCACATCCTGAGAAAAGGCCCAGGGGTTGAGGAGCTGAGGTCTCTGGCAATCAGTCAACACAGAAGCAGCCTCCTAACAGAAGTTGTTATATAAATGAATCTGGAAGTGGATCCTCTAGTTCCAGTGAAGCCTTCAGGTGAATACAGCCCCTGCTGATATCTGGACTGCAACCTCCTTCCTGAGAGACCCTGAGCTAGAAGCACTCAGCTAAGCTGCTTCTGAATTCCTGACCCACAGAAACTGTAAGACAACAGATTGTTGTTTTAATTTTCTACGCAGCAATAGATCATACAGACCTGAAGATGTTCCTAATATTCAGGCTATATATATACTTACTGACTTATAAAGGCTTTGTAATACTAATAAAGATGATTAGCTGTCTTCTTTACAAAAGCTTAAAGTTGGTTGCTCCTTTTCAACCATCACTTCATCACAAAGTATACTGTTTTGACAAGAGTACAAGAGCATAGACATATGGAAGAACAAAAATATGCCACTGTAGATTCCCTTCGAAGCCCGCAGGGAAGAAACACACACTTAGGGACACATCAGAGTCAGAACATAGACACTGGTATAAACTCTTAAAAACTCACCTTCCTATTTGTAGGAGATTTTTCCTTTTGAAACTGTTCACACTCTCTTTTTAAGCTCAACTTCTCCTGCTCTGTGGGCTTCACAGTACCTGATGAGTTTACATGTTTTTGGTGCTTGGGGGTAAGAAGGTTAGATTCCAGTTGACGGACCTAATAAGAACAAATGTAAGAGGATTAAATGCTAATATAATCACCCAGCCAGGAAAAACAAATGAACATTTTTATTTAGGACCTGGGTATTATTGTATTAAAAACACTTTTTTCAGTTAAGTCTGCTAGTTTTCAAAGCCTACTTTTTTGTATTTCAAAAGATCCTTTCTAGGTAAATCTATTTTTGGTCTGATTGGCTCTAAAAACCCAACACTGTAAGGAACAGACAGAGAAGGAAGGGACTTCTGGCCCCAACAAACCACTGGGAGGGGAGTCAAGAAAACACAGTCTAGGCCTTTTGCTCTGACATGAGCATGACTTTTTAGGAGTGAATGAGGTGATAATCCTATCCACTTTGTACTGGACTGTTCACACCTGAAATAATATATTTATATCAACTAAGTTCTATGAGGACAGTGACCTGTTTATCTTGTTCATCATTGCAGTTCAGTTTCTGGCACACAGTAGATGTTCTAAAATGAAAATCTGTGGCTCTTCAGAGAGTTGTTTCTTGAAAGAGGTGTTTAAGTTAAGAATAAACATAGTTGGCTTACTACTTAGAGGTAAAGAATTTAAACAGCAGGTTAAAAAACCATTTTAACAAGTGATGGAAGGAGACTTGGAGTGGTGAACACACAATATACAGATGATGTATTATAGAATTATACACCTAAAACCTATATAATTTTATTAACCAGTTTTACCCCAATAAATGCAATTAAAAATGCATTTGAGGTTCATCTATACAAGTGTTCATTCCTTTTCATTGCTGAATAGTATTTCATAAATGGATGTGCCACAGCTTGTTTATCCATGTAGCAGTTGAAGGATATTTGGGTTCTTTATAATTTGGCATGCCAATTAATAAAGCTGATTTAAACATTCAAAAAAGACCATTCTAAACTTGAAAGATTTAAATCTAATTTTTTTTTTTTTATCCTCACCCGAGGACATTTTTCCATTTTTTGTACAGATAGAGTGGGAGGGAGAGAGAGGAAGAGATAGAGAGGGAGAAACATCGATGTGAAAGGGACACATCGAGTGGCTGTCACCACACGACCAACCAGGGCCGGGGACAAACTGCAACCGAAGTACGTGCCCTTAGCGGGAACCGAACCCGGGTCTCTCCGGACCGCAGGCCGACGCTCTAACTGCTGAGCCAAACCGGCCAGGGCTAAATCTAATTTTTAAAGACCATTCTAACGTCTAAACCTTGCAGGAACCTCTTCTCTTACAAGGAGTTAGACCAACAAGATTTGAGTCTTGTTTCGCCATTTTTGTACTACTTGTCTTGGTGGCTAGCCTATTGAAGAGGAATATATGGTTAATACTTCCATGAGTTTATATTTTGGATATGAGAATTAAAATAAGATTTTAATACAGAACTGCTTATACAAAATGAAAAATATTGTATAAACATACCAGGATAAAATGAAATGAAAGTAAATGATAAATTATACATTCTCAAAAGGAGTCTGCTGTAACAGGATACTCAAATCCATACCCTAGAACTATTTCAATCATATCAAAAACATTCATTTCCACATCAAACTAAGCATTTTCAGACATATGCCACCATGTGCAACTTTTCAAGTTACCTTCTCCCGGGAGTGAGTGAGTTCCGCTTTGGTGTTCTGCACCACAGTTTGGAGTCTCTCGTTCTCTTGCCAAAGCAGCTGTTGTTCCTCATTCCTCAGATGATCCAACTTGTCCCAAGACAGCCGTTGCTGCTGGCTATGGAATCCTGACGGGTGGGTGGCTGCTTCAGGGGCCCAGTTCTTAAGAGACAATTGCAGAGTTAAGCCTTAAAAACAAGCTGATTTCTGCCCTGGTCAGTTTTGCTCAGCGGTTAGAGCATCAACCCATGGACCAAAGAGTCGTGGGTTCAATTCTGGTCAAGGGCACGTACCTCAGTTGTGATTCAGTCTCTGGCCCTGGTCGGGGTCATGTGGGAGGCAACCAGTCAACGTGTCTCTCTCACATTGTTGCCCCCCCCCCCCAACTCTATCTAAAGATAAAAGGAAAAATATCCTCGGGTGAGGATTGGGGGGGAAAAAGCTGATTTCTGTTTTGAGAGTCATGTTTACCTAATGACAGCAATTCTTAGTAAGTACCTTATAACCTTCACCTTTGTCTTCTAATGGGAGTGAGTGTATGTACATATAGATATAAATAAAACCAATGTCATTGGGTTTGATTAAAAAAAAGTTTATAAACTCTGTTTAAAATGGTCTTTGGCAAAATAGTTCCATCAAGCTTAGTAGCAAAGGTATGACAAGTCCCAGTTCCATACAGGACACAAGTACAGACAGATTGTTGGCCTTAAAAACTGCCTTGTTATGCTCTGAACCCAGATAACTGCTCTTTGGTTAACAGAGGACACAGAGGGAGCTCAGAAACGCACTGCTCACTTTGAAAGCTTTCACAAGCTAAACTCTACTTTCATTTTCACATGTGCAATCATACCCTTGTTTAGATTCTAAAGCACATAATGCCATGTAATTGAGGCCTGAACACAGAAATATACTTTAAGCTACCAAAGTGATTTTTTGGATCCTGAAAAATGCTTTAAGAAACAAAAAAGGTGACACAGCTAGATAAACTTTTTAAGTCATAACATGAAAAAGAAAAAAAGGTACAATCTCATGTTGAGAAAAATGTCAGTTCAGAAGTAATTTTTAAAAATAGAAACTAGATTATTATTATTATTATTATTTTGTTTTTATTCTGCCAGGGTTCGGAGGGGGAGGGGGGAAAGAGAGCGGGAGGTGGGAGGGGAGTGGAGAGGGAAGGAGGGAGGGAACCGGGGAGAGAGAGAAGGAAGCTCATTATTATTTTTTTTATTCTCACCTGAGGACATTTTTCCAGTTTTGTTCAGATAGAGTATGAGGGAGAGAGAGGAAGAGAGAGAGAGAGAGAGAAACATTGACATGAAAGAGACACATTGACCCCAACAGGGTTGGGAAAGAATCAAAACCGAGGTACATGCCCTTGACCAGAATTGAACCCACAACTCATTAGTCCACGGGCTGACACTCTAACTGCTGAGCCAAATCGGCCAGGGCTAAACTATCTTATTTTTAAAAATTACAACTGAAAAGCATCACCAAAGATAAAATAACTGAATTAAAGCCTACTTTTATGGTAGGACAAAAATTTCAACATCTAAGGCTAACATCCATAACACTGTTCTTAATTTATCTGTGTACAGATGAAGCAATACTGTGATATTAAAATGAGACACTTTCTACAACATCAAAATGTTTTAGTTTACAACAAAACAACTTAGTCATGGTCTTCTGACTTGCACAATACAAAAAGTTAACTTGTCATTATGGTTCTATTTACATAAAGTTCAGAAACAAACGTCCCTAATCTATGGTGCAGAGGGTAAAACAGTGGTTCCCTTGGGGTTATCAACTGGAAGGGACGGAAGAGCGCCTGCTGGGTGCTGGAAATGTTCTATATTTTGAACTAGGTTGTGGTTACACAAACACACCACACATACACAGAGGTATGTAAAATATATTTTACATATACGTGTATAAAATAATCAAGTTATATACTTAAAAATGTGTAAACTTTACTGTATCAAGTTATACATCAATAAAAATAGAAAATTACCTTGTCACCAGCATTCTGAAGTTGCTTATGTAAAGACATCACTTCTTGTTTTAAAGCCTCCTTTTCCTGCTGAGTCACTCGTAGGTCGGATTTAATCCGGGACATTTGCAGGTTTACATTCTGCAGTGTGTCCTCTAAACTCTGAACCTGCAACATGAGAACAATCTTACACAGTGATTCAAATCCTTGTGGCCTCGCCTATAGCATGTCCAGGTATGAATGCAAGATAATACCTAGGCCCCTGCTGTTTTTACTTATATCCAGCTCTTTACAGTAACCGTGTGGAAACCCAGTATATTATGTATATTGACAGGATGTTAAATTTTATTTACGAAAATGACGAACTATGCCTGGAACAAGGTATTGCTGATATAGTCATCTGGTATATTACCAAGTGATATCTTACAGAATCAAAGAGTACCAACTGGCATCACAAAAGATGGTTTTACCTAGTTTTATAGAAATGATGTTTTAACCTGTGGTGTTGGTTTGTAAAGGACCTCTTAGTTGAAAATATAAATATATACTGGTAGAACCCTATTCTATGCTAACATCTCAATTATTTCAATAAAAAAACATTAAACTGGTAAAAGGAATGTTGATACAGATCTTTATAAAAGGCCATGAACCTGCCTTAGAAATTTCATTTCTTAATAAGGAACAAGCAATCCTTTTTTACACACTATTCTCAAGCTTTTATAAATAAGTAATCTCATAATAATGGACCATGAGGGAAATATTAAAATTATTTCACTAGACTAGAAGCATGTTTCAAATATTAGTCAAACTGAATCATTCTGAGCCCCCTTAGGATACTTCCATCTGTAACATTCTTTCCACTGGGGGTTCTGCTAGAAGATACAGAAAAACATTAACCATGCAGATGAAACAAGAATTGTCCACATACCCTTTCCTGGGAAGCTGCTAGCTGCAACTTTAAGCTTTCACTCTGGTGTTCCCAAGACTTCTGTTCTTGCTTCATAGTAGCAATTCTGTGCTCTAACAGACTTGATTTTGCCAGCTGTTTCCGCGGGAAAAGAGGTAATGGCATTTTAAAAAACATATGATGGCATTTTTGCAAACATATCTAGTCTCAATTTGTATGCCTCCACTTAAACTGAAAAGATCAAGTACATCTATTTACATGGGGGAGCAGAGTAAGGTAAAATCAAGTTTTCCTGACTACCTTTTCTACCTTTAATTTTGGGAGTCTCTTCTCTTTGGGGATTTCCATTTTTCTTTCTCATTGCCTCATTTTTGTGGGTTGGAGATGGTGGAGTGGGAGGCAATTAGAAATCTTTTCCAAAATAGGAAAAGACAGAGCGCCTAGTAAGGCAAGTGGGACAAAAGCAGTGTTTGGGTTTTGCTAGGGAAAATACAATAGAAGAAACGTGTCTATGTAATAGATCTCAGATTAGTAAATACAACAATACATTATTTATGTTATAGGTAAGTACATAGTGATATATTTAAATAATACTATATATTAAGTAGCTTGGCTACATATTAAAATGAGACAAACTTTGTATTACCTTATTTAATAATGTAGTTATTAAACAACTGATTTAGAGTCCTGTTAAAATCATGGCTTCAGGAGCTATAAGGTCATACTGCCAGCTGAAATGCTATTCCAGGAGGCTCTGGAGCAGCCAGGCTAACAATTAGGCCCATGTGCCATGTGCACAAAGAAATGCTCATTATGGCACACCCTGTACAAGGATGGTAAAAAGTCATCTTATTTTTACTACCTTATCAGCGCAGCTATTTAATTCTTCACTTAGAGCTTCCTTTTCTTTTAGCAGTTTTTCATTGTAGCTTAGAACACTAGATATTTTTTGCTGGAAATCAGAGAGATCGGGACATCTGTGCAGCTGTGAGAGATAAACAAGCCCCCCCATCACATCTCATGCCTATATTTATAAACAGGGCATTTTCATGGCCGCTATTTCCCTATCTGTAAATATTTCAGGGGACATATAAACTCTTGGGGGCTATAATTAACTTTAACAAAATGTTCCCTGCTAGCTTTTCTCCATTCTCCAATCAACTGTTGAAATGCCTGTGCAGACAGACTCAACTAGATAGACATTGATAAATAATGGTCCTAACTTTCTGTTTTACTTTCAGAGTAAAATAACATACTGACATCTTGTGTACTTATAGCTCAACACATTTCCCTGCTTTTTAACGAAAAAAAAAAAAAAAAAAAATCTCAGTCAAGTCTATAAAATTGGTATGAACCAAAGGACAGTGTATTAACACAAGTTTAAAGACAAAACATGATTTTTCAGGTTGTTCCAGGTTCCCGTCCCTTTGGAACACGCCCACATTGACTTGCTTATTAACAAAATGCTGTTAGTGTGGACACACTGGCTTCCTCCTCTCCACTCTGTGGGACAAACCAAAGACTTTTTTGTTTCTTTTCAGCATTAACCTTAGCACTACTGACATCTGGGGCCAGATAATTCTTTGTTGTGGGGTCTGTCCTGTGCACTGTAGGGCAGTTAACAGCATGTCTCACTTGACCAATTAGATTCCAGTAGCACCCCTTTCCCCTCCCCACATACCAGTTATGAAAACCAAAAATATCCCCAGACATCGCTAAATGTCCCAAGGGTGGGGAGCCACCCCCACCCACCCCCAACCACTGCTTTAAAGAGACTGGTTGTTTCTTACACTTAACTCTTCTCCACAGTTTATACATTTTTCATTTCCCTCCACTTCACTTGGCTTTCCAATTTTCAATTCTTTATTATCGTTATGATTTTATGGCCATCTTTCTACTTCTTACCTTAAGTTCTTTTACATTTAGATTTAGTAATAGTATGACAAAATAGTCTTTAAGGGTTGAATCTTGCCTTCAACTGGCAACAAATCCAGCATACCTTACAAATCTAAACAAGTCGGAAGGATGCAGGAAAATATATATATATATATTTTTTTTTATCCTCACCCGAGGACATTTTTGCATTTATCCTCAGATAAAGTGGGAGGGAGAGAGGGAGGAAGAGAGAAACATCGATGTGAGAGAGACACATTGATTGGTTGCCGCCTACACGACCCCAACCGGGCCGGGGACAAACTGCAATTGAGGTACGTGCCCTTGGCAGGAACCGAATCCAGGACTCTCTGGTCTGGGGGCCGACGCTCTAACTGCTGAGCCAAACCGATCAGGGTGGAAAATATATTTTAAAGTATTTGGGCATTAGTTTAATGAAGGACCTCTTGCCTATGTTCACTAGCTTCCTCCCACTCCTGGACCCTCCCAAAGCCCAGTACCATTTCAGGTATCTACAAACGGGCTTGTGACTTCTGCTGATGCTATTCGTGTTTCTTTTCAGTGCAACAGATAATAAAAGTGCTTTGTGAACGACGAGTCATGTCATACAGAGCAGCCCATGTTTTCTAGGTCCAAGCTATATGGCAGCAATAATGGGCCGACACCATTCTACTCTGTGACCCAAAAGAGCACCACGAGACGACTTCCTGCCAAAGGCAGACAGGGCTCCCTGTTTTTCCACTTCACGATTTATGTCAATGCCTCTGTAAAAAATATGCAATAAAAATGGACCAAAGGATGTCCCCATCATGCTATTTTACTCCTTCCTCTGCTCCTTTTCTTCTGATCTCTAGCTTAGCAAAGTCACAGAGCACACGTTTCCCATGCTATGGATTCGGAACCCAGCATTATTACCTTAGAGGTTGAACAACAGGTCAACTTTCAAAAGGTAAAGGAGAAAAGTATGCCCAAGTAAATTAGGATGAAGTTGGTAGTAACAGCTTTGGCATACTTATCCACCAGAGAAGGGCCCTGTGAGTTTTAACTTCTGCAGGGTTTATATGGACAGACGGCTTCTGCTATGGCAGATGAGATATACTTTGCACAGTAGCATCTGACTTGAAAAGGTTCTATTAAAGCACCCATTAGGTACCAGTACTGAACTAGGCACTATGAGAGATACAAATCCCCTGAGAGTCTTATAATCTTATTAGGAAATCAAGACTGACAGGAGTCAAATAGAGGTTAACACAAACAAAACACTCGGTGGTAGAGATCCAATATTTCAGCATTCAGGGAGGGATACCTTTGTGCTCATATGCTGCACAGACACAAGAGAGAGAATTTTATTATCTAAAGATGTCATAATACTAAGAATCCTTTAGAGACGCAAATTAAATAAAATGGAACAACTAAACTCTCCTGTTATAAACCAGGATTGCTCAGAAAGATTCTTGTACTCACTGAAAAATTCAGAATAAAGAATAAAATAGGATATAATTTTAAGGTAAACCCTCCTTTATACTTAAAATTAAGTATTTGAAACTTTGAAATAGGCTCTGAAAGCCAAATTCATAAGTGAGACTGCATCCCTGATAATACTCTAGAATTTACCCTACAGCTTGGATGCTCCCTGCTGCTGTAAGGAAAGGGACAAGAAGGACCAGCTTCGCCTGTGTCTCATGAATCTGGGTGAATAGTTATTAAAGTTATAAGGAAAAAGTTACCTTTTTAGAGAAACATATTACCTTTTCACCTGGTTTATAGAAAGTAGAACATAAAATTTCTTAAACTGAAGTGGTTGTGATCATTTATAGCAATAGAATTTCAGTCTGCAACATACATATGTTACAAACTGGAACAACATTTAGAGAATTAGCAATAAAAGCCCCTATAAATAGATGTGTATTGCAAGTCCTTGACTTTACTAAGCAATAAGCTAGTTGACAGGATTCAGTACAAGGGATATTTGGTGGCTAGAAAAGCCAGACCATCAGGTACATATTATTCTGTATGCCCCCTCCCCCCAGACGCCTCCTGAGTAGCGCGCAGTCTTACTTGTTGCATTTTCTCCAGTTCATCTTTGAGAAGGAGGTTTTCCTGTTCCACAATATGCATTTGTATTTTAACTTCAGAAAGTTCTGCCTCCAGAGAAGACACTAAAGTGGAAGACTAAGAAAAAAATTAAAAAGTCAAATAATATACATAATCATTTAGCCTGGGGAAACTTACTAGGGTCACAAAAGGCAGCATTAAGGACACACTAGTATAAATTCAAGTAACACACTGTTTTTTTTTGTTTTGTTTTGTTTTTTATTCTCACCCGAGGATATTTTTCCATTTTTTTGTACAGATAGAGTGGGAGGGAGAGAGAGGAAGGGAGAGAGAGAGAAACATCGATGTGAAGGGACACATCGAGTGGCTGCCACCCGCATGACCAACCAGGGCCGGGGACAAACTGCAACCGAAGTACATGCCCTTAGCGGGAACCGAACCTGGGTCTCTCCGGACCGCAGGTCGACGCTCTAACCGCTGAGCCAAACTGGCCAGGGCAACACACTTTTTTAAATTTTATTATTATTTTTTAAATAAGGGAACGTTTATTTAGAAAGTTACAAAGGAAGAAGAGCCCTTGGTGCTTACGAGAAAGAGGGAGAGAGACACGCCCCTTGAGGGACGAAAGGGAGGAGGAGCGGGGGTGTGCTGAGGGAGAGAGCCCAGTGACAGTCTAGGACCATTCATCCTTATGCTCAGTGGAGCTAACTAAAACTGTCTTTTTTTTGTATACGTTTGTGTTTTTTTTTAATCCTCACCCGAGGAATTTTTGTATTTATCTTCAGATAGAGCAGGAGGGAGAGAGAGAGAGGAAGAGAGAGAGAGAAACATCGATGTGAGAGGGACACATCAATTGGTTGCCACTCACACGACCCCAATAGGGGCCAGGGACAAACTGCAACCAAGGCATGTGCCCTTAGTAGGAACCGAACCTGGGACTCTCCAGTCTGTGGGCCAATGCTCCAACTGCTGAGCCAAACCGGCCAATTTTTCCAATTGATTTTTTTAGAGAGAGAGGAAGGGAAAGAGAGATAGAAACATCTAAGTGATAGAGACATCGACTGGCTGCCTCCTGCATACCCCCTACTGGGAATACCATGGGACTGATGCTCGGTCCACGTCGGGCTAAAACGGTCTTTTAAAAGACTTTCCTCTAAATGGCATAAACATGATTCTAGAGTAGTTTTTGCAGGTTTCTCCACTGTAAAGTTACTATCTTTCTCTTGGGGGTATACTTTGAGGCTATGCAAATCATGTTTCTCCTTGAACTTTTGCTTATGAATTTTAGTGTCTACCAGTGGATTTTGTCTACAGTTATTACTCTGGTGTTTGCCTTATAATGGCTTTCTTTTCTTTTCTTTCTCTCCTCTCTCTCCCTCTCACTCTCCCTTTGCCTCTCCCTCTCTTTTTTAATTGGAATTCTGCCATAAGGAAGACAGTGTTTCTCCCTCCTTTATTTACTTATTCAGTTGTTTATATTGGTATGGGCCTATAGATATTTATTTTATCCCATGTTTATAACTATATTTAATATTTTACTATGATTATTTATTTTGTTGATGAAATTGTTCCACCTTTGGCCAAGAACCCAAAAAAGGTTGGGCCCTGTGTCCTTTCAACATGCCCCATCTTTTTTTGAGCATTTTTTTTCTTTCTGGCACCATGAAATATCCCAGGCTAATGTTGAACTTTCCTTGTCCAGTCTCGGAATGAATCATTTCCCCAAGGATCCCTGGTTCCTTTTATAAGAGAAAGGTGTCTGGAAATCAAGATCTCTACACTCTATCCATGAACACACATCTAAAACTCTGTCTATTCATATGCCGATACCACACTGTTTTAATTATTAAGACTTTAGGTACAAGAAATTTAATATAAGCATTTCTTTTATTTGTTAGGATTTCTTCCAAAAAGGCTGTACAGTGGCTGCAGACCCTACCTGCACTTTACAGTGTTCCAGTTCCTCTTTCAGATTAGACTTTTCCTCTTCCCATTCCTCAGATGTGCTAGGTCCTGGCTGCTGCTCCTGGCAGAGCACTTCTGCCAGACGCTGATTCAGTTCTTGCAGTTCTTTCTGATTTTGAGAGTTCTTTTGGCTAAGTTCCGTATTTTCCATATCCAACTGTTGGTTTTTGGTTTTTAATTCTGAAATCTAATTAAAATTGAAATAAGTTTTTAAAACTACCTTACTTCTGCTAAAAAACAGATTTAGAGACTAATTTGTTTCTTTCCTAGCTATGTAGATAAAGTTACACACACACTCTTAGTAACAGAAATAATGTAGTGTAATTGTTACAAACTCAGTCACTTCAGATGTTGATGAAGAAGTGATAGACACTCAGCCCAATCACACTCCACATGAGGAGCCATTGTTCACAGCTGGATACGTATGTAATTCCCTCCAGATTGTTTATGTGCATATACAAAACCATATGCAAATAGAGACTTTTTTCTTCTTTATAACAAAAATTGGAATCATTTCAGATGTTTGGACAGTCTGTTTTTCCCACTTACCATATCTTACAGACTCTTATCGTCCAAGTCAGTGCATTCAGAAACCACCACATGCTATATTTTTTTAGTGGCTGTTGGGTATTCCAAGGATCAAGACATTGCCTAATGCGCTGAATTTTAATTATGAAGAAATAAAACAATCTTTTGAAAATTCATTTATACACGGTAGCATTTTGTATTTAAGATGTTTTTTAGAAGTGGGGCTGCTGGGTTAGAAGGCATATACATTACTATTTTTATAGATATCCCTAAAATATCTCTTCACAGTGCTACCAACTTACAGTCCTATCAACAAGGTTTGAGCACCTTCATTTCCTCACCACCTCTTTTATACTTGATGATATCCCTCTTTAATTTTTGCTAATCTGACAGGTGAAAAAAGACACATTTAATTTGCTCTTCCCTAATCACTAATGAGGCTAACCATCTTTTTATTTATTATATTCTTTTTTTTTTTTTTCTGTGATTTGACCATTCACATCAATTATTGATTTTTCAACTGGGTTTTGCCATTTGTTTGTAAGTGGACAAAATACATTTTGGATGTTAACACCTTGTCTACTCTTTCCCTAGGATGTCCTTGCCTTTTGACTGTCAGACAGATTTTTAAATGGCCTTCCCCCACACAATTGCATGTTGTGAGGTTGTACAAATAGGGCATTAAATGGTACAAGTTATCTGAATCATAATTCTGCGAAAAGATATAATAGAAACCCAGCTTCTAGTCACAAAAGATTCACCTATTCACAAAAAATAGACACCTAGTTTAGAGTCAGCATGAGGTGAGTTTCCATTTTGTTTTGTTTTTATCATTTTTTAAATTAATTTTAGAGAGAGAGGAAAGGAGACGGAGAGAGATGGAAACATTGATGAGAGAGAACATCGACTGGCCGCCTCCTGCATGCCCCCCACTGGGGATCGGGTCCACCTGGGCATGTGCCCTGACCAGGAATCAAACTGGCAACCTCTTGGTGTATGGGTCGACACTCAACCACTGAGCCACACCAGCCAGGCTGAGTTTCCATTTTGAATCTCTGAATTTACAACCTTACCACCGCTAGCTATATGTTATTTTAAAAGCATATCCTATAAATCTGTAAATAAAAAAAGAAACTTTCAGACTCGAGAAACACTGGAAAATAGTAAGTAGCTCCTTACCTGTTTCTTTAAAATTTCAACCATCTCCTGAACTGTGGCTTTTTCCTGTTTTACAGTTTCTATGTTTTGCCTAAAGGGACAATGAAAACATAACTAAAGAGGTAAGCTTTCAAAGTTGAGGTAAAATAGTTTCAGTCCTTGCAAAAATGCCTTAAGAAAATTTAAGTATATGTCTTACCACATTTCTTCCTGAGATCCATTTAATTTCTCCAATTGCAGGTTAGAAACGCTATCTTCTTCATTTAGAGTAGTAATTTCATTTCTCAAAATAGAATTTTCCTCTTGAAGCTTCTCAGATTCATATCTGAAGTACAGAGATTTGAAAAAAAAGTAGTTACAACAAGGCAGTCATCTGGCATCTTTGGAAAATACTTTCTAGTAATTTCCAATGAAACAAGTATTTCATGCCAGTTAAAATGAGGAGTCTAAATTAGTAGTCTCTGTTCTTAGAACTCAAACTGTAACATATTGACTCATTTCTTGCAGAAAGGAAGAGTTTCATGAAAAGACATGAGGGCAGTGTGGGCAAGACACTGCGCGTGGAGACGGGATGGAAACGCGATGCCCACTCCGGCTGCTGGCTTTGTCTGTGGCAAGCATTCTGCTTTGAGCAAATAACTTCATCTATCTCAGTCTCAAGTACTACCTGCTTCCAACAGACAGAAACCATATTACTACGTTGTATTAGCTTTAGTTCTAGGCCCCAAGGTACCTAGAGAAAGAAAATGCACTACATGAGTTAAAGGGCCATACTGAAATATACACAATGTTTACTTTGTGATTTTTTTCCCCCCATTTCATTATATTCTGAGTTTTAGAACTAAAAATCATCTGATGTAAGAAGAGGAGAAACTATATCTAGAATTAAATTATTTTGTTTCATGTCATTAAGATATTTCAGACATGATACAGTATTTCACAAGGTTTTTAAAAAACAAATTTGCTAGAAGACTATTGCAATACTATTTTATAAAGACAAGTGAACAGTGGTTCAAGTAGTTTCATTTTTGTCTTTATTTTCAAGCACATTTATTAGAATCTGATAGCTCCTCGATAAAATGATATGTTCTAAGATAAATTTCTATTGTTTACAGAATATCGGCATGTACCTTCAAGTGGTATAAGGGAAAAACTATAAGCTACAAAACACATTTATCCTATATTAGTATAAAAAGAGTTATCTACCAAGCAAGTTAATAATACAGAAAAGGCATTCATTCTCATATAACATGTTTTATCAAAATGAGGAAAATAACGTTTAACAACAAAAATCTATCCGTCCAAATGAAGTGCTAGAAAAGAGTTAAAGACTCGACACACACTGATGATGCACGTGGTTAAACAGCAAACACTCTCCATTATGCACTTTCACACCTACACGAACGACATTTATTTCCTACAGGGGAAGGGAATGCCTCCTAGGCAAGGTTATTCTACTTGTTAATGTGACAGAAGCAGAAGGAAGGCTACCGTACTGCTCTCTTCTCGAAGACTAACGGGTTAGTTTCTCTAGGTACAGCAAGCAGCAGGAGTTAGGTTGGCGAGGTGCTCTGTGGGGTTCCGTGAAGTTTAGACGGTACATACATTACCTCAGAAGTTCAACTTTCTGCTGCATCTCACTGCACGTGATTTGCAAGTCATGCATCATTGCCTTCAGCTCTTCCTCCTTTCCTCCTTGAGAAGGTACATCTTTTTGCTTAACTAAATTAGTGACTCTCTCCCTCAACTTTCTAGTCAGCTCCTGCAGCTTTTTTTTCTCCAGTTCTAACTCTGCTATCACAGCCTGACGCTGAAAATGTTTGTCCTGAAGGCCTAAGACAGCGGTGTTCTCCTCTAGTATAACTAGGTTCTGTTCTCCAGGCTTCTCTCCGTGAGTCCGGATTGTTCTGTGCAGCCAGGCAATTTTATGTGCTTTTACTTTTTCCAGGGTCTGTGTATTCTCCCGCTCAAGGTACTGGTTTTCTTGATAATGTTCTGTGATCTGGTGCACATTCATGACCTTTGGCGCATGCTCTTCCAGCGTCTGCTGTGGATCAAGTGCCTTTTCCCTGGGTTCGCCGTCCAAGTTCTCTAAACGGGCTCCCCACGGAGGGAAGCAGTCATGCGGCCGCGCCGCTCTTCCTTGCAGCTTCTCAATCTTGCCCTGAAGTCTCAAAACCATTCCGTGCAGCTCCTCGTTTTCTCTCTTGACCTCATCATAACTCTTTTCCAGGCCAAGGAATGTCTCAGTCGCTTCTTCCACTTTCTTCAGCTCATCCTGTAATCGGAAAACTTCTGAAGTGAGTTCCTTGTTGTTTTCTAGGGCTTCATCGTAGTGTGTCTCCAACACTCTCAGCTCCTCTTGGAGACAGTCATTTTCTCTGCTGGCGTCTTCGTATAACAATTTATACTTAGGAGAAGCCTCAGGGATTCTCTCAAGCATATTTAGTTTTTTTTTGAGCACAGAAACATCAAAAAGTAGGTCCCGTTTCTTTTCAGAAGCTCGATCACAGTCTGCACGTAAGATCATTAATTGTTCTTGAAGTTGACAAATTTGATTCTTCAGGTCCCAGGTCTCAGTCCTGATCTCCTCACTGTTTTCAAGCTCGGAAAAACTCTCTATTGATGCTTCAGACTCCTCTATTTTGACTTCCTGTCTCTGAACAGAGCTCGTGCCTGTACTTCCCAGATCCCGGACCTCATCCTCTTGCAGGTCACTTAGGACACGTCGCCTGGTTACACCTTCTACTTGCTTCACTCGGCTTTGCAGTAAAAATGGCTCTGTTTGTTCCATAGAATTTCCAAAAAATCCAGTAGTTGGCTCCTCTAAACAAGATGGCATTACTGACCCTGGCTCTAATTTTTGCAGCCTCTGCTGTAATCTAGAAATTTCAGTAGCCATTTTCACGTTTTCCTTCACTGCTTGTTCGTGAGCTCTCTGCAGACTTAAGAGGACATCTCCATTCTCTTCCAACAGCTGCTCTCCTTGCTGGAGCAGGGACATGGCTCCACTTCCGTCTGCCTCCTCCTCTCCCATTTCCTGGTAGCCATTCGGAAGCCTGGAGGGAGGTGATGCCACCTGCTGCATTTCCTTAATTTTATTCTGAAGCTGGGAGATTTCTGTGCTCATCTCAGCTCTGTCTCGATCTGCTTTCTCACAGGTCACTTTGTGGATGTTCTCCATGGCCAGAAGCTTGGACATCATTTCCTGCCTCTCCTGCTCATGTTCTCTTTCTAGCCTTTCAAGCCGCTGGCTGGTCAGCTGCTCCGAGATGCCTGCCTGGCTCAGGACCTGCTCGCGGTCCTTCAGTTCTCTTTCATGACTGCTTTTCAGCTCAAGGATCTGGTTGGACAGTAGGCTTTGCTGATTTTCAGACACATTTCTTAGATCTTCCAGGTCTTTGAGTAGCTGCTCTCTCTCAGCAACCATGCTATTCAAGTGTTCTTTGTATGTTTTCTCCAGCATCTCTCTCTCCTGGGTCAAGACCAGGGAAGTTGCTTTCTCTCTTTGGAGAGTCTCTTTAAGCTGCTCCTGGGCTTCGGCACACTCCTGGGTGAGCTCGTCCTTCTCAAACTGCCACTGAGATTTCTCCTCCAGGTGTTGTTCCAGGAGCTCCTTCAGCTCTTGGCGGTAGTGCCTCTCCAAGCTTTGCAGAACATTTTCACATCTCTCAGTGGCTTTCTGACAATCAGCCTGAAACTGGGCTTCTATCTGATAGGTTCTTCTATTACACTCAGTTTCCATTTTTTCCCTAAATGTGGTCAATATACAGCATTACTAACACTGCCGTCAATTCCAGAAGGAAACAAACAAACAAAACATTTCCCATGCACAGAAGAAGCTGCCAAGCAAACAATTTAAAATACTTGTTAAAAACAGTTTTCACGTATCCCTCTGTGATTCTCTTATACTGAGAAAGGATCTCATTTCTGAGATCCAAGATCAGCAGCCATTTAACTCATTTAAAAAGAGTCAGTACTTACTTCTCTCTGCATTTAGAAGAAAATTTTAGAATAAAAAATCCTTTGGCATACTCCTGGATGTATTTGTTTTTAGATTTTTAACCAAAAACATAAACTGATATTTCACCATAAATGGTCAAATGCATTTATATTCCCGTAACTTGGGAAATATAAAAAATTTTCCCTTTAAGTATACATTGAAGGATAATAATCATATAAACCACACATATTAAATTAATGTTTTTGCCTCTTATTTAATGAAGTGGCACTGAGGTCATCAGGGTATGAAGTGACAAATCCTCACACATACCTGAGATTTCATGTAAGTAAGGTAAGCATAAAGTAGGGTTTCATAGCTCGGGGAGGAAATGTAACTTTGCCCAGGATCTAGTCTATAAATAGTCTTTCTCAGAAAACAACAGGACTGAACTAGGAAGGAACCACATTTGCAATAAATCTTATCTTCATCTGTGACCTTAAAAGATACAAGTCTGCCCTGGCTGGTTTGGCTTAGCAGTTAGAGTGTCGGCCCGTGGACCAATGAGTCTCGGGTTTGATTCTGGTCAAGGGCACATACCATGGTTTCGGTTCATCCCCAATCCTGGTCAGAGTCGTGCAGGAGGCAACCAGTCAATGTGTCCCTCTCATGTCGATGTTTCTCTCTCACTCTCTCTCTCTCTCTCCCCCTCCCTCCCACTCTATCTGAAGATAAATAGAAAAATATCCTTGGGTGAAGATAAAAAAATAAAAAAAGATACAAGTCTGAGCCCTGGCTGGGTGGCTGAGTTGATTGGAGTGTCATCCCATATACCAAAAGGTTGTGGGTTTGATCTCTGGTCAGGGTGTATATGGGAGGCAACCAATCAATGTTTCTCTCTCGCTCTAAAAATCAATAAAAACATTTCCTTCGGTGAGGATTAAAAAAAAAAAATGATACAAAAGATGCAAGCCTGATATAAGGCGTTCTTCCCTCTTTTAAAAGAAAAACAGGTTCAATAACTCCAAGGTAGGCTTGTCTGAACAATGGCAAAACAGGTGCAAAACTAAAAAAGAATCTAGTATATCAAGCGGCTGCCTTCTGATCCATCAAAGTCTCCTTAACTGACTGGAACTTCTGGTGCCCATGACAGACAGCACCCCAGGTTGCTCCACTCCCCCCATTTTCTTACCTTCCCTCTTGAAGTTCCCTTTGGTATTTTTCCAAGAGCTCTTTTCGCAATTCCTCTTTCTCAAAAGTGTACTTCACCACCAGGCTTTTCAGCTGCTCCAGGTGAAATTTCTCTAGCTCCTGAGTCAAGTCCCTCACCTTCTCTTCTGTCCAGGCACCATTTTGAAGAAGTCCTTCCCTCTCTCGGCTAAAGCTTTCCTCCACCTGCTCCAGTCTGTCCTTGAGCTCCGTCTCATGCTCCAGCCTCAGCTTCTCCTGCAGGAGAGTCTTTTCCTCATCCCATTGCTTTTGCAGTTGTTTTTTCTCCTCCTCGTGTCTGCAGTTAGTCATACGCTGTGCCTCCTGGAGCACCACTGCCTGGCCCTGAAGCTCTGCAATTTCATTTTTAAGGTCACTTATTTGTTTTTCCAAGATGTGCACTTCCTTCTCATGCTCTTGCTTCATGAGCTCCTGCTCCTTTTCACAGGCAGCCTTGGCCGTCTCCAGCTGCTTTTCATAACAGCGCACCTAAAGTCAGAAAGCAAAAGCGCCGCGACGTTATCCAACTCAAGGCCATGGAAACATGATGGAGGCAGAAGTACTTTTTTTTCCTACAATACATTCCTCAGTTTTCCCATTTTGTTTTAAAGTAGCAATTCAAAAACACATTAAATACAGTGTATTTAAATTATACATGGTTTGCTTTCCTTTATTTTAACTTGCTTGAATTTTATTAGTTTCTGAACAACTCTAGTACAACTGATTAGACCTTCATATAAATACCATTTGTTTTCCCCGGCATTCTTTCCAATGGCAAAGTTAGGGGCTTAACATACTTAATTAAATTAATATGTTTATTAAACACCTGCAAGCCTCTTGGGGACACAAAGTTGGGTAAGACATTGTCCCTGCCATCAAGGAGAAACCTGTCTAGACATGGTTATGACAAATACAAAGAAGTATGCTACAAGGCAGAATAAAAAATATAAAAGGTATAGAAAAAAGAGCTACAATGTAACCAGGCGATTCAAAGGAGGGAAAAATTCACATTGGGTGGGGGGGAGTTTAGAAATGGGTTCATGCAAGAGGTAGCATCTGATACAAACTGAAGGGTAAGTAGACTTTCTAGAGATAAGGAGAAATAACATAGCATATAATAGCATGAACAAAAGAGCACAGTCTGATGAAAATCAGCAAACTACCTGGTTTGCCTGGAGGATTAGGCAACTCAAAGGAATGGTAAAAGAGAAAAATGGAAAAATAAGTTGAAGCGACGAGATTAAGGAAGGGTTTTAGAGGCCAACGTTCAGAACTTGTACCTAAACTAAGAGTAGTTATAGCAAAGGGCCTTCTTTTGGTTTTTTATCAAGATATTTTTTAACAAGTTGGAAATGTAATGGCCTTCAAGTTCTACACTTGCTGGAAAATGAAGAGCTTACACTTTTGGAGAAACTCTATGAGGAAAAGGCCTCACCTTTGGCCTATGAAACCATCCTGAGGAACTGGGTTCGTGGTAGCCACCAAGACACAAGAGAAAATATATAGAAAGTGCTACTCTATGCAAACAAAGACTAAGAATCTACTATATGCAAAAGCTAATCAGAACTCAAAGAAATTAGAGAGCAGGATTGATACGAAGGACTTACTTTATCTTCAAGCTCCAGTCTCAGGTGACACAAGTCCCTCTGATGATGTTCCTTCATCTGTTCGATGACCAGCTCTGCTTCAATGCTCATATTCAGTGGATTGCATTCTTCAGAACCAAGCCCTGAAAATACATGAGATCTGTTGACCTTTATCTTTCAATAACACAACTGGCATCTGAAAAGGGACATCTATTAACAAGAGAACAATTTGAGCCTAAGTTTGCCACAGATGAGATCTACTAGGAAACAGTAGAAGCCAAGAGAAGTCTCTTCTGTTTTTGAGCATTAGGGAAAACAAGAACAGCATGAAGGTGAACAGATTCTGTCACATACAGTCAGTGCACCAAACCTTACAGAATCCATCTTTTTGAACAGTAGGTAGGACATAGATGTGGAAACTGTTTCTTTCTTTTTTTTTTATCCTCACCTAAAGACATTTTTGCATTTATCTTCAGATAGAGCGGGAGGGAGAGAGGGAGGAAGAGAGAGAGAGAACTATCGATGTGAGAGAGACACATCGAGTGGTTGCCACCCACACGACCCCAACCGGGGCCGGGGACAAACCGCAACTGAGGTACGCACCCCTAGCAGGAACCGAACCCGGGTCTCTCTGGACCAGAGGCTGATGCTATAACTGCTGAGCCAAACCAGCCAGGCTGGAAACTGTTTCTTAAACATAATGATCTCCTAACAAAAATGCTGTGGATTGAAGTAGTTTGATTAAATCAACCAGCCTTCTATCCATCCAACAAATACTGAGTAACAAATTAGGTAGGGATGGAGATGCAAGATGGCGGCAGAGCAGATGGAAGGTACACTCATCTTCTCCCAGGACTAAACAGGAATTAAAACTAAAATATAGAACAATCAACCTGAATAACCAAATGAAGACTAGTTGAACAAAAGTCTTACAACCAAGGATTTAGCCACATCAAGACTGGTAGGAAGGGCGGAGACGGGAAGAGGGCTGGTTCTGCTCCCAGGGGCAGCAGCTAAGATTCCAGTGGGATATCTCAGCTGTAAGGGTTCCCCCTGAGGAGCATGTGTCTCAACCCCATGCTGGGCTCCCCAGCCCAGGGCCAGCATGAGGCACCCATATAACATCTGGTTGTGAAAAGCAGCAGGGATTCTGTCTGCAAGGAAGAGACAAGAGTCTGCTAGAGACTCATGTACCCTCTTTTTCTTTTTCTTTCTTTCTTTTTAAATCCTCACCCAAGGATATTTTCCATTTATTTGCAGACAGAGTGGGAGGGAGAGGAAGGAGGAAGAAAGAGGGAGAGGGAAATATCGATGCAAGAGAAACACATTGACTGGCTACCTCCCGCATGACCTTGGCCAGGGAACCAAACCACAATTGAGGTACGTGCCCTTGACCGGAATCAAACATGCAACTCTTCAGTCTGCAGGCTGATACTCCAACTGCTAAGCCAAACAGTCCAGGGCGCCAGGTACCCTCTTAAAGGACCAACACACAAAGTCTTGTTTTTTTGTTTGTTTGTTTGTTTTAGTACGTGTTCCTAGCAGGAACTGAACCCGGGACTCTCTGGTCCGTAGGCCAATGCTCCAACCGCTGAGCCAAACTGGCCTCACACAAAGTCTTGTTTGCAACTACTCAACTTGGGCTCAGGGGGAAGGAGGGCAGCGCATACTAGAATCATGTGAGGACAGACAGGGGTTTATGACTCTGGGGAGAGAGCTGACAGAACAGTCGCCAGGATCCCCGTACTGAGCCACTTTCCCAAACTGCAGCCACCATCTCTCTTGGGTAAAGCACACCCTTCTATACAAAGAGAGAATCTTAAAAGCTGCAAGAGAAAGGCAGTTATCTACAAGGGAGCTCCCATAAGACAGTCAGCTGCTTTCTCAACAGACACATTTCAGGCCACAGGGGATTGGCATGAAATATTCAAAGTGATGAAAAGCAAGGACCTACAAGCAAGACTACTTTACCCAGCAAAGCCATCATTTAAAATTGAAGGGGAAATAAAGAGCTTCCCAGACAAGAAAAAGCTAAAGGAGTTCATTACCACCAAAACAGTATTAGAAGAGATGTTAAAGGGTCAAGAAGAAGAAAGAAGGAAGAAGAGGAAGAACAAAAACAAGAGAGGAACACAGTTATAAAGACTCAAATGACAATAAATATGTACCTATCAATAATCACTTTAAATGTAAATGGCTTAAATGCACCAAATCAAAAGAAGTAGGGTAGCTGATTGGATAATTAAACAAGACCCACATGTATGCTATCTACAAGAGACCCACCTCAGAATGAAAGATGCACACAAACTAAAAGTAAAGAGATGGAAAAATATATTTCATACAAATGGAAATGAAAAAAAGCTGGGATATAATAAGTATACCTGACAAAACAGACTTTAAAAAAAAGGCTGTAATAAGAGACAAAGAACACTACATAATAAAAGGAGCAATCCAATAAGAGGATATAACTCTTGTAAAAATTTATGCGCCCAACATAGGAGCACCTAAATATATGAAGTAAATCTTGATGGACATAAAGGGAGAGACTGACAGTGATACAGTCATCGTAGGAGATTTTAACACCCCACTGACATCAATGGATAGATCTTCCAGACTGAAAATCAACAAGAAAATGATGGGGGCCTTAAATGACACACTAGATCCGATTAATTTAATTGATATCCTTGGAGCATTTCACCCCAAAGCAGCAGAGTACACATTCTTTTCAAGTGCACACGGAACATTTTCTACAACAGAACACATGTTAGGACACAAGTCTCAATAAATTTAAGAAGATTGAAATCATATCAAGCATCTTCTCTGACCATGAAACTAAAAAATCAATCACAAGAAAAAAATTGAAAAACACATAAAGACATGGAGGCTAAATAACATTGCTAAATAATGAATGGTTAACAACAAGATCAAGGAAGAAATCAAAAGATACCCTGAAGCAAATAAAAATGAGAGCACAACCCAAAATCTATGGACACAGTGAAAGCTGCTCTAAGAGAGAAATTCATAGCATTACAGGCATACTCAAGAAACAAGAAAAATCTCAAATAAACAATCCAACCTTACACTTAAAGGTACTAGAAAAAGAACAACAAAGTCCAAAGTGAGTAGAAGGAAATAATAAAGATCAGAGCAGAACTAAACAAAATAGAGTATTAAAAAAAATACAGAAGATCAATAAAATCAAGAGCTAGTCTTTGGAGAGATAAACAAGACTGACAAAACTTTAACCAGACTCATCAAGAACAAGAGAGAGGACCCAAATAAATAAAATAAAAAATGAAAGAGAAGTAACACTGACACCACATATCGTATATACAAAGGATTATAAGAAAATATTACGGCCCTGGCCGGTTTGGCTCAGCGGTTAGAGCGTCGGCCTGTGGTCCAGAGAGACCCGGGTTCGGTTCCCGCTAAGGGCATGTACCTCGGTTGCAGTTTGTCCCCAGCCCTGGTCGGTTGTGCGGGTGGCAGCCACTCGATGTGTTCCTTTCACATCGATGTTTCTCTCTCTCTCTGTTCCTCTCTTCCTCTCTCTCCCTCCCACTCTACCTGAACAAAAAATGGAAAAATGTCCTCGGGTGAGGATAAAAAAAAAAAAAGAAAATATTACAAACAACTATATGTCAACAAATTGGACAATCTGAACAAAATGGATAAATTCCTAGAAACATACAATCTTCCAAAACTGAATCAGGAAGAATCAGCAAATTTAAATAGATAGATTATAACTAATGAAATTGAAACAGTAATAAAAAAAAAACTCTCAAAAACAAAAGTCCTGGATGGGATAGCTTCACAGGTGTATTTTACCAAACATTCAAAGAAGAACCAACACCTATTCTCAAACTATTCCAACATATACAAGAGGAGGGAAGACTCCCAAGCTCAGTATCCTAATTCCAAAACCAGATAATGACACTACAAAGAGAGAAAAATATCATATTATCAGTTGGGCTCCATCCTTACACTACAGTAAGGCGATAGACTTAGAAACAGAGCAAAGGTCTTAAGGCCTCTTTCTTTCCCTTCCCCCATCCCTTATTTATTCTAGAATAAACAGGTGAGGAGAAGAATGACTTTTATAAGGACCTCTACTCTTATAACAAGTAGCAGTAGACAAAACTGTTTATAACAGAATTTATTATGAGCCCTTTCTGAAATTCAACCCCACACACTGGAATAAGGAGGCAGTAGACCAGGAGGGAGGAAAAGAGCTGATAAGAATATAGGAGGGTTAAGAACTCTGACTTCCAACCTTGCCCCTCAAAATCTTCCTCCAAGGCACAGGCAACCAACACATTTATTGTATTTGTTATTTTACAGAAGAAATAAAGACATTTAGGATAGCCAGCATAAGAAAACCAAATTTTGTGGCTTCTGCCTGGCCCACTCTCCAAAATCATCCTCATACCAGTTAGGTACTCAAGAGAGGAAGGATTCGCCAACAGCTCAGTGTCTGAAGTCGAACACTCCCGAGGACTGAATTCTCAGCCTTGTAGACAGTTTTTTGTCCTTTTTTTTTTTTTCTCAACAAAGCAAATATCCTTGTGGTTTGATTTTTCCATTCCTTTGTTGTTGCATATCAAAATGAGATACAAATATTCTCTTAAAGACTTCAAGAACAAATGAAAACACAGACCACAAGTGAAATAGCTCAAGAAAATAGTATTGCCAAAAGCTTTTTCTGTTGTTATTATTGCCAAAGTCTGTCCATTTTACATTCAACCATGATGTAAAAGGAAAAGTCAAAGGCAGAGCCTCTGAAAAGATGGGTCTGAATGGCTTACCCTGGACAGGCTCAAGGCAACCGCTGCTAGCATCCAGTTCTTCTGACAGCGAGTTCTTCAAGGGAAGCCTGAAAACTTTGCCTTGTGTACGATATTCTTCCAGTTCCGACTGGAGTTCATCCACTTGGTCTTGTAATACCTGCAGTTTAAAAACCAACACAAGTCTTAGAGGTGACACCAAGCAACAAAAGAAAGAACAGATAAATTAAACATCATCAAAATTAAAAACTTTTGTACTTCAGAGGATACCATCAAGCCCTGGCTGGTTTGGCTCAGTGGTTAGAGCACTGGCCCACGGATTGAAGAGTCAGGGGTTTGCCCTGGACGGTTTGGCTCAGCAGTTAGAGCATCAGCCTGTGGTCCAGAGAGACCCGGGTTTGGTTCCTGCTAAAGGTGCGTACCTCGGTTGCAGTTTGTCCCTGGCCCTGGTTGGTCGTGCGGGTGGCAGCCACTCGATGTGTCCCTTTCATGTCAATGTTTCTCTCTTTCTCTCCCTCCCACTCTACCTGAACAAAAAATGGAAAAATGTCCTTGGGTGAGGAGTGAAAAAAAAAAGAAAGAAAGTGTCAGGGGTTTGATTCCTGGTCAAGGGCACGTACCTCAGTTGCGGGTTTGATTCCTAGCCCTGGTCAGGGTCGCGCGGGAGGCAACCAATCGATGCGTCTATCTCACATGGATGTCTGTCTCTCTCTTCCTCCCTCCCTCCCTATCTAAAAAAAAAAAATCAATGGAAAACTATCCTCTGGTGAGAATGAAACAAAACAAACAAAACATAAAAAATAAAAACAAAGGATACCATCAAGAAAGAAAAAAAAAATCTACAGAATGGGAGAAAGGTTTTGCAAATTACATATCTGATAAGGGACTTGTAACTAGAATACATAAATAACTATTAAAACTCAATAATAGCCCTGGCCAGTTTGGCTCAGCGGTTAGAGCGTCGGCCTGCGGTCCGGACAGACCCGGGTTCGGTTCCCGCTAAGGGCATGTACTTCGGTTGCAGTTTGTCCCCAGCCCTGGTTGGTCGTGCGGGTGGCAGCCACTCGATGTGTCCCTTCACATCGATGTTTCTCTCTCTCTCTCCCTTCCTCTCCCTCCCTCCCACTCTATCTGTACAAAAAATGGAAAAATATCCTCGGGTGAGGATAAAAAACAAACAAACAAACAAAAAAACCTCAATAATAAAAAGACAACTAATTTAATTATTAGGCAAAGGACCTAAATAGATATTTCTCCAAAGAAGATATACCAATAAGCAAATGAAAAGATACTCATTAGTGATCAGGGAATGTAAATCAAAGCCACAATAAGATACCACTTCATACCAGCTAGGATGGCTATAATAAAAAAGACACACGATAATAACTATGGGCAAGGATGTGGAGAAACTAGAACTCTCATACTAGTGGAAATGTAAAATGAGGCAAACCCATTGGTAAAGGTATGGCAGTTTCTCAAAAACTTAAACATACAGTGATCATATGACCCAGCAATTCCCCTCCTTGGTATAACCCAAGAGAAATAAAAGCATATATCCACACAAAAACTTGCACACAAATATTCACAGCAATGTTATTCATAATCTTCAAAACAACCCAAATGGCCATCAACTAATAAATGGATAAATAAAATGTGGTATAGTCATATAAGGGAATATTATTTAGCAACTGAAAGAAATAAAGTTCTGATACATGCTAATACATGGATGGATCTTGAAAACATGACACTAAATGAAGCAAGCCAGATACAAGGGACCACATATTGTAAAATTCCATTTATATGAAATGCCTAGAATAGGTAAATTTAGAGAGACAGAAAGTAGATTATTAGTTGCCCAGGGCTAGGGTCATGGAAGACTGTATAGCAAAGTGGAGTGGGAATTTCTTTTTGGGTGATAAAATGTTCTAAAATTGATTATGATAATAGTTGCACAATTCTGTGAGTATACTGAAAAACAACTGTACACCTCAAGTGGTAGAAATGTATAGTTATGAAAAGCTTTCAAAAAAATAAAGAAGTGGATGGATTTGGGGAATTTTTGGAGGTAGAGCTGACAGATTTTACTGATGACATAATTAACCTTAAAGACATACAAAGAAAACACCTCTACTTGATTAGAACCAAGAGCTAAAACTTAATTGTAAAAGCAGCATAAATGTTTCATTTCTTTCCTCAAGATGTGTATATATATTTCCTGAGAAGGCAGACTATGAGCATCCTCAAAAGGAGGTGATATTTACCTAATTTCTGCACAAGTACAATGTTCACCTAAAGCAGTGAGAACTCAGTTATGCTTACCTTGTTAGAATAAACAAATGTGTGAGGTTTAAGAAAAACAATTCAGCCCTGGTCAGTTTTTCTCAGTGGTTAGTGTCGGTCCGTGGACCAAAAAGTTGTGGGTTCGATTCCAGTCAAGGGCATGTACCTTGGTTGCAGTTTGGTTGGTCCCCGGCCCTGGTCAGGGATGTAAGGGAGGCAACCAATCAATGTGTCTCTCACATGGATGTTTCTCTCTCCCTCTCCCACTCTATCTGAAGATAATGGAAAAATATCTTTGGGTGAGGATTAAAAAAAAGAAAAGAAAAACAATTTAAATACTTAAGCCTAGGAGTGTTAACTTTTTTTTAAAAATCCAAGATTTCTATTATTTATATAAGGATTTTTCCCCCTCTCTTCTGGTAGGAATTTGTAATGATTTACTAGCTAAAGATTTGAGTGGTTCTGCTTCATCTGCATTCTGCAAATAAAGTAAGAAATGTGATCAGAAAAAGAAAAAAAAAACACAACAACCCACATGACAAAAGCAAATTACATCAGATGAGGTCTGTAATGATGAATCAAGAAAGGCTAATTTTGGAATAAGCACATCAACATGACCACATATTCCTCCACTCAGAATAAAATTCTATTTTCCTCTAAGCACTAGTAATTTCCGACCTAGATAAAGCAGACTTAAATGCAGTGTGCATGACTCACTAATATTTCAAGATACAAAATAATAATATTAATAGCTAACATTGGGGTTGAGTGCTTACTATGTCCCAGGCTCTGTCCTAAGCACTTTACAGTCACTCATTGACTCTTCACAATGACCCTATTATTTTTACTATCTTACCGATGAGAAATGGAGGCACCCCCAGATTAAGTGACTTGCTCGTGATCACACAGCTAGTAAATGGTTAAGCTGTGTGACCCAGACACTCCTCCACTTACTAAGTTCTTTCCAGTCACTCACCCTGCACTGCTGCTCATATTCATTTCTCATCTGTGTCAGCCTTTCTTCTTGCAGAAAGAATTCAGCACTGCCGGGATCGAGGTCACCAAACTAGAAAAGGAAAAGGAGAAAGCTGTCATTTTTCCAAGTGTCCTTCTTTGACCTGTCTCATACCAAAGGTCCCAGTTTCTGGTGTTCACCCAGTCTCTTGAGTACGAAAGGAATGTGACATTTAAGGAGGAACCCCACTAACTGGATGATGGAAAGAACATTCTAGAGGGAGGTGTTCAGCTAACACAGGGATCACTTCTAGTGTCATGCAACATTTTCCTCATACCCAACTTCTTAAATGATATCTCTGCAAAAATGACTGCTTCCATTAGCCATCTAAATCCTCCCTAACAGAAAAGTTCTTGGTGGCATTGCTTTTGCTCTTTTGAGTAAACTGCACTTTGGGCTGTGAATCAGGAAATCAAATTTAAACAGATTTACCTTTTCTGCTAACACATTTTCCAAATTTCGTTGAAGTTTATTTGTCAAATTCTCATACTCTGCCAACTTCTCAGCATTTTCCAGAAGCTCATTTTCTAGACGACTGTTTTCCTGAAGAAATTTGAGGGAATTAAACAGGCACAGATTAAAAAATAAGCCAACTGTTGCACCATGTTAGATGAGGCATAAATCAGTGCTCTAGACTAAAAATTTATTCATTTTGAAAGTTTCAGATTAGACAAAAGTAACTATTTTAAAAATAGATGTTTGTCTTATAATCTAAAAGTCTGCCTCCTCTTCTTTTTGACCTTATAGAACTGTGCTGTCCGATACATAGCCCTGAGCAGTCCCGTGTGCGTACTGAACACCTGAACTGTGTGCAGCACAAACTGAGACGTGCTGTAGGGTAAAATGATCCCTGAATTCCTGATAGTACAAAAATATAAAATAGCTCATTAATAATTTTTGTACATTGATTCCATCAAGATGATGATGTTTGGGATACTAGATCAATGAAATAATTTAAAATTCATTTCACCTGTTCCTCTTAACCCTTTAATGGGGCTATCTGAAAATTTGAAATTACATGTATGGCTCGCATTGTCTTTCTATTGGACAGCATTGCAATAGAAAATTTAATGATACAAAATCATTCTCAATGTATGAAATGATAGAAAATGGGTTTAGCTAACAGCAAAAGAGAAGTCAGAAAAACTATAAAAAGTAGAATAACTCAAATCAGTTTTTATTTAGTGATGTTATAGTTTGGTTTATATTTATTTATTTAATTAATTTATTTATTTTATCCTCACCCGAGGACATTTTTGCACGTATCTTCAGACAGAGTGGGAGAGAGAGAGGGAAGAAGAGAGAGAGAGAAACATCGATGTGAGAGAGACACATCGAGTGGTTGCCACCCACATGACCCCAACCAGGGCCAGAGACAAACTGCAACTGAGGTACGTGCCCCCCAGCAGGAACTGAACCTGGGTCTCTCTGGTCCATAGGCCAACGCTTTAACTGCTAAGCTAAACTGTCCAGGGCTTGGTTAATATATAATTTACAATTTTATTTTGGTTTAAAGATGTAAAAGCTACACACATATAGGTTTTTCATAATTGATATATGTTTAAATTATTATAATAAAATGAAGTCCACAATGGGTGGAATTTTTTCTTGTATATATAATATTTGTTAGAGAGATTTCCACCCACATTTGTTAATATATATTCATATATACAGTCACACAGACATGCCGTTCGACCTATTTTCTATTCCAATGTTAAAAGATGATTGGAAGAACAGTATTTTCCAAGTGCATTTTGCCAAAAGAATATAGAGCCAACATATGTTAATGCATTCTAGTTCACAGCCTCTCACAGCAATATGGGATAAGGAAGAATGTGTTTGAAGCATTTAAAAGTGCTCCTTTTCCCTAAAATGCCAATTCTACAACTCTAACCTTTCAAACGATGTCTACATTGCGATGTCAAACAATGAGGAGCAATCTAGCGTACCAGGCCCGTGCTCTCTGGGCACTGTGGAATCAGATTCTGTTCCCGGCAACAGGGAATGTACCGTTTGGACTGCGGGGCGGGAGTCAGATACGAATACAATGATCTAGGATCAACGGGGAAGTGCGCTATCTCTGGCAAGAACAAAGTAAGTGAAATGGAAGTAAAAATGTAATGTGGCGTGTTGGAGAAAACAGAGATGGGGGATTAAAGACCCCTGAGGAGCTGGGCGAGCTGAGGGCAGGTGCAGTGGGGTTGGGGGCATGGCAGGGGGTGGGTAGCGAGTGGTTCCTGAGGCTAGAGAGCTATGACAGCCCCTTTTAGGGGGCTACCGGGCTACCACATTGCATCCTTACAAAGGGTAAAAGCATGATTGTGAGTGTTCCTTAGTAAGTAACTCTGGTGGCCATACAGAGGTCAGACAGACAGAAGAAAGGCTGCACGTTAAGTCCACTGAGACATTGGGATGGATTGTGAACCTGCTCAGAGCCTGTGGAAATGGAGAGGAAGTGGATAAATCTGAGCCGCAGTGCAGAGCATCAGCAAGACTTAAAGACTGATGAGTGAGGATGACTGAGGATTTTAGCTTCTGTGACTTACAGCACATGGTGATGATGTAGATTAGGGAGAAAATTTGAGAGAGGATATAGTTTGATGGTTAGGGAGTGAGAGTTTTTGATGTATGAAGTTCGGGAACCTTTCATAACCTCAACAATAGTGAATATTCCGTAAGTCCAATTACCTTCCAGACACTGTACGTGTAGTATCTCAGTTAATCCCCGTATCAGTGCTGTGGGGTAGGTATAATGATGGTGCCCGTTTTGCACATTAGGAAACAGGTCTAGGTAGCTTGATCAAGGTTTTCCAGTAAGTAGTGGTATCTGGACTGGAACCAGGCAGTCTGAGTCCAGGACTCCCCTCCCCGCTTATCTCTAGACTACAGATAGTATCTGGTGCCGAAGTCCAGTGAAGAGAAGAATCAGTTCCCCTACTGAGGCACGGGGAAGGAGAGGAGGTGTAAGGGAAGAGACAGAGAAGCAAAGCTGATGGGCTCAGTGTGGCAGGAGACAAGGCCATTTGCCAAGAGTGAGGGGGGAGGGGAGGGCAGGGAAGAGAGAGGGCATCAACCTGGGGAAACAGCCCTAAGGACCCAGTGTGGCTCCAGCGGGAAAGCAGGTTAAGATACACAAACCAACACTTGACAAACCAGAAGCATGGATACCCCTGAACCCAAGATCCCAGGGGGCTTTGCTATGTCTGGGTTATGACCCAGTGGGGCCAATGGACGGGAAGCCTTGACCGAGCCCTGCACAGACCTGCCCTCTTACGCAGCTGCTGTTTCCCCAGCAGGACAGACCAGAACCAACAGGAGGATCGATTACCTTTAAAGAAAGGGCAAGGCGGTCCCGGATGTAGTTCTCTTCTGTTTTCGCCTTTTCAATTTCCTGCTCCAGCTCCAAACGCTGCTTGCCCACCTGCTGCATGATCTGCTCTCGCTCCTGTCGGAGTTCATTCTTCAAGGCTGCTATGCGTTCCTTGTATTCTTCATCCAGTTTCCTGTGAGGAGGGAAGACCGTCAAGCTGCCATCCAATCCCTCAGAGATTCCATTAGGAAACAGTCACAGAGATGGGAAGCAACTTGGGAAAGTATCTAGTGTATCCTGCTCGCCTTTAGGCTTAGCAAGACCTCGCTCACTCCAGGCAGCTGTGGCTAAGCAGGCAGGCAGGCAGAGCCCCACTGCACTGCCCTCAGCCAGGGTGCTGGGTGAGGAGGGCCTGGCCCTGCCAGTCGCACCTGAGGTTGTGCTCATTCCGCCGCTCTATGGCCGCATGGTGATCGTCCACCTCTGAGGCCATTAAAGACTTGAGCTTCTCGGCTTTGTCCAGGTCTGACCGTAGCTTCTCTTTTTCTCTAACCACTTGATCAACACGCTCCCTAGAATCAGAAATAAACGGAGTTAAAGGGAAACCATCTCTAAGCAACAAATAGACCCAAAAAAGCTCTCATCGGGCTTGCTTCAACACAAACACAAAACCAAGACAACTAAAAACCTTCCAAAACAGACACTCCACAGCTCCCTTCAAAAACCTACTGGCAAAGACCTAAGCTCTCCCTCATTTTCACAGTCGACAGATGACAGATCAGCCACATTTGCATGTGGAATGAAAGAATGTATGTCACAGGCATCTGACCGACTTGCCGGACAAGTAGAAAAGAGAATGAATGAAGCAGGTGAACCTTTGCCCAACTCACAGCAGATGCCGGATCTCAGCCTTAAAGCTGGCCAGGGCCGCCTGGTGCACGCTGTTCTTGGTGACCAAAAGTTCATTTTCAAGAGCCAGCGTCAATTCTGTCAAGTTGACGTTTCCATCAAGGCTGAACTCCAAGGCCTAGAAATCAGAACAAGTCCAGGAGAATCACAAGTTCTATCCTCTGAAAGCAGAAAATGTGAAGGTGAACAAACCCAGAGAGCAAACCCAAATCTATAGTCTAGAAGGTGGATGGCGGCATTTCTTCAGTCCAGGACATAATTAAGTTCTCTTTAAGGAAACCATAACATGATTATTTACATGTTTGTAAAGAAAATGCTATCTGGCTCTTTCAATAAACACAATGTTATAATTCTGATCTTTACCAAACAGAGATCAGTTAAGAGCATTTCTCTTATCAATAATTTAGGGGTTAAAAACATGGGAAGTAGTTGGCAACGGATTCCTGGTTAAAGGGGGGTAGGAAACGTTACCTGTTATTTCTGAGGTCTTATGAATAGAAGTATCATTAATGAGAAATCAAATAATCAAAGCACAGTTTTAAAAAAAACCCTGGAATTTTTCCACCCTTTCCCGATTTGTCGTCTGTCTCCCGTTCTGCCGCCACACCTTCAGGATCTCCGGGCTGTTCTCGATGCCCTCTTCCTGCCAGGTGTCCAGTATCCTCTCCACTGGCGCGTAGCCCATCCCATCATCCAGGCAGGAGAAGACCCGGAAGCCAATGGTACTGGTCATCGCCGATGGGGTTGTATTACGTCGTCCACTCTCATCAAAAGACTAGAGGAAAAAGGAGACTTGAGCAAGCTCCAGCATTTCAGCAGGGTGTTGGTGAGACCAAAGCTGGTCAGTCCTGGCCACACGGAGCAGAAGGCATGTGTCCCTAATTTACACTGCTAGAAAAGTCGTGCGGGCCCCTGATCATCTTTTCCCAAGTGAGCCAAGAATGCAAAGCTCATCAACAACTACTGCTCTGGTAGAGAGTTCCTCTGTATGGGTGAAACGTGTCTCTACATAACACCAGGTTTCTTCGTTAGCCAACATCAAGGGGCATAATTAGTGGTCTTGCCACTGTGTAATTTACGGTCATTTCTCAAACCCGACGTTTCCTTCTCAATGATTTAGACTTTCTTTCTCCTTCTTTTGCTTCTCTCTTTCTCCTTAGTGTTTTTCCTCAGACCACCGATGAAGTCATTAAAAAAGCATTCACGTGGGCTTAACTCCTACTCATAAAGAAACCCCTTCCCATGTATTTCTTACCTGCATGGAGAGATGCCTTTTCAACTGTCTATATGGAGTAGATGCGGATGGTGTAAGGGATTTTCCATTTCTGAACAAGCCATAGAAAAAATCTTCTACACTCATTGTGCCATCAGGATCAAGATTATGGAAGACTTCCTCAAGCATCTAGAAAAGAGTAACCATATATTTTAAATATTTCACTCAAAATAACACAAGGAACAAAGTACACTTCTGGCCAATAGAAACTGGCACCAATGCTGATCCCAGGACTCCAGAAATATAACACATCCCCTTATTCTAATTTCACTGAATTTGTTTTCTTTCTAGTCATGCACCCTTCCACCTCACACACACGAAACAAAAGTCCATCTCAACACCTTCATAACCTTTACACAAGTTAGCAATGAACTGTTTTCTCTTTTATTCACTTTTAGAGCAGGTAGTCTTTAATGTTACTACATATTATTCTTATAAATTAAAAAAAATTTAAATATATAGCTTCCTAGTTGTAATAGTAAAGGTCAGTTGAACATTGAGCCACTGTACTGTGGTGACTCTACATAATATTGTGTTTACATTAAATTTTTGAAATTGGTATGTTAGCGCAGACTCGGGATTTAGAGTGTTACTTGGAACAATACTGCATGTTTGGGTTTTTGGGTTTTTTTGTTTTTGTTTTTTTTTATCCTCACCCGAGGACATTTTTCTATTTTTTGTTCAGATAGAGTGGGAGGGAGAGAGAGGAAGCGAGAGAGAGAGAAACATCGACGTGAAGGGACACATCGAGTGGCTGCCACCCGCACAACCAACCAGGGCCAGGGACAAACGGCAGCCGAGGTACATGCCCTTAGCGGGAACCGAACCGGGTCTCTCTGTATCGCAGGCCGATGTTCCGACCGCTGAGCCAAACCGGCCAGGGCAGGTTTTTGTTTATTTAATGCTTCAGCGTGGGAGAAATGAAATCGGATAAGAAGGATTTTGTGTGTGTACAAGAAGGGTTCCACGGGATACAAAGAAGGGAATTTTGCCTGGCCATTTGGCAACCTCTGACAGTAATCAAATGGTCCTCATCATATAATGGCAGAAGAGGATACTGGACCACAGTCCTTTCTACAGGCTTGTCTAGGACCTGGTTTGCTCCGTAGCTCAACAGAGGAATGGAAAGGGGATAAAGTGGATGAATCCCTGAAACACAAAACAGGGAGGGGAGGCCAAGACCTCTTTCTCCTCCTGGCAGTCAGAGTTTTCTTTATTTGGTGGGGGCTAACATTTTTCAATAGGAACAAGCCTCCAAGGAACAAAACAGAAATCACCCGAGAATCCTGTTAAATGTGGACACTGATGTAGTTAAACTCGGGGACGGGGACTGAGAGTCTGTGTTTCTAACAAGTTCTCAGGTAATGCCCATGTTGCTAAGTAATAGACAGAATAAACAACAAATTTACTCTTACTGCACTAAAGCCTACAATTAATTAGGTCCATTCTAACAAAGGCCTCTTTGTAACACATTTTCAAGATTCATTTCCTAACTCTGGACTATAACTAGAATTCCTGTCATCTCAGAATTGCTGATTTAATTCTTCATGTAATTGCGTGAGGCATTTCTTTCATGTCAAATGCTTTTTTCCAATTCATATCCAATAGGAAACATCTGTCTCTATTCCTATTTATATACCACTTCCTCTGAAGAGGATTCTAAAATAACAACAAAAAGAAACATTCTAAAGAATGGAAATCTTTGGCAGAAGCAACAGTTCCTAACGGAGAATTGTGTGATGAAACCGAAAGATATTTGGGTCAAGATTCTGAGGCTGCCAAGATCTTTTAGCTTCTTTGTTTTGTTCTTATCAACCAAAAGAACGTCTTCTTAGAGGACTAGGCCTTCAGGACCATCAAACCAGAAGCCACAGTAAAATCCAGCTGTGCTGACTGAAGTTAATAAGCATATTTTGGCTCTAACATTAGATCCAAACTGCTTAACTTTGTGACCCTGGCCACATCATGCACAGCTTCCAGATCGCCTAAACACCCACCACCTGATCCATTCAAGGTGCGTCCTTCCAGTTATTGTACACGGGGGGGTGGGGGGGAGGGGGCAAGTGGTGAATGAAAAGGATGTGGATGCAGAAGAAGGGGGATAAGCAGAGTTGGGCTGGAAAGAACACAAGTCAACCAGGCAACTAGGGCCCCCCCTGCAGCCTGTGCAGGAGCTGAATTTAGAACCCTAAGGACATTCTTACTCCCCATGATGCACCAGCCAGGTCTTTGGATGGTTGATTTCCTAATGTGTAAGTTGCAAAATCGTGCACCAGAATAGGGACCATGAATCCCAAATACCCCCAGAGACCAGGAAGGTGATATATGAGGCAGGATGGTCCTGAGACATTAGAGAATAGTGCCATTTAATGCAGTGACCTGAACACATGAGGGTATGCCCTGTCCAAAGGCACTAGGCACTTCCAAAGCACTAGGCACTTCTCACTGCCGGCAAAATGGAGCCAAATCCAACTTCTAGAAAAACTTCCCGATTTAAAAAAGTGCAGCAAAAAATGTCAATTTGTAAACATTGGGCAGGCCAAATAAAATAGCCTTTGGGCCATATTTGGCATCTAGGGTGACAGTGTACCATCCTGGCCCTACAGATGTCCTTGCTTCTTGAAAGCAGAGTACAAGTTACAGCCATAAGCCACTGACTCTAGTTCCCCCTTCAGGCTAATAGAAGCAGCAGTGATCTCTCTCTCTCTAGCTATGAAATGAGGGGGTGACTAAATCTAAAATTGCTTTCAGTTGTAAAATTCTAGGATTCCAAATTGTATGTGGATGAGATCACCTTGAACTTTCAGCTCCTCTGTGGTCCAGAGCTAGTAATACAAAGTACTACAGTTTTCCACGATTGTGTTTAGAGGAGGAAACGGACAAGTAAAAGCTATGCTCAATAAGCAACCCTTTACTCATCCTCAGATCAGGGGAAACTAACTAAATGTGCTGCTTCTTTTCCTAGGTGCTGGAAACTCCACCACAAAGATTCAACTCCCCGCAAGTGGCTATAGTTTATTCCAAGAGTTGTCCTTAGACAAATAATCCAAGTTTGTGCAATATTTCTTGGCAAAAACAACCTAACATCATACATACTTCTCTGGTTTATAATTTAGGAGGGTGCATTTAATTTTATGATTGAATAGCCACCACTGAAAAATAAATGACCACCAAGCCATTAAAAAGGTAGTCACAGGGCATCTAACGGTCACATACACAAAGAAGAAGAGAACCAGAATGAAAAGCTTTTGATGATACATCTTTTTCTGGTTTAGGAAATACCAGTTATCCCCTGAGCAAACAGACAGCATGGTTTCAAATATTATTATAAGCAGAGTTTCCCAAAGCTACAACTGAGCCCTAACCTCTAAGTCCCTCCAATCCTTGTTTTCAGCTCTCTGAAAGACTATCTTGGAATTTTTTTTATATTATTATGTTTCATAACTACTCCTATGCCCAGTCCTGCCTGTTCCCCTCTTAAATTTTCAGAAAACACAAAGCTCAGAATTTTACCAAGCGAGGATTTTGGGGGCTCCTTTAAGCTCTTCTGTGTATCTTCAAAACCATTAAACTACCTTGGTCCATTTCCTCATGACCAGAATATTGTGAAGGCTCCCGGCTGGTCTTCCAACCAGATGCTCTGTTTACACCAGTATGCCCAAAGATGCTCCGACCATCCTCAGCAAGCCGCTTTTTCCTATATATTACTCAGTCCGCTGCAGAACCCAAGGATGATATTGAAATCTCTCCAAAAACCTAATCTCATCATCCTGGCCTTCGAAATATTCCCCAAACTCAAATCCATCTATTTAATCCTTCCTCTACACCTTCCCTACATTCACACCCATGAATGCCTTGTCTACAAATACACCTGACATCATGGCTGCACTGAGCTGGCATCTGACAGTCGTGCGGGGTAAAGTGCTTAGCACAGTGAGGAGCAGACATGGGCTCAGGAGGTGTCAGCTATGGTCAGTATTTCTTTTCTACAGCACAACACGAGCTCCTCAAAAGACAGACTCTTTGTGGCTGACTTCCTGGGGAAGAAAAAGAGAATGGAGTCTCTATAATTTACTGCAGGAAGCCAAAACATGGCTGTTCCTAGCCTGTGGCCAGTTGAGCTTTTATCATGATTGTTATTCATGAATAAAAATATGATGCATGGCTTACCTCTCCATCAACATTCTGCAAACCATACTGCTCACAGATGGAGACCAGCTTCTTTCGGTTCAGGTGACCATCACGGGTAATCCCCAAATCTTCACAAACCTCCTGCAGTTTCTCTTCTATCCAGTCTTGGGGAGGGGAAGTCCCACTGTGGGAGGCATTCAAATCATCTGGGTTCCAAAATCTTAGCTGGCCTGAAATAAAAGCATGCATTGTGTTGTCTCCAAAGGGACTGCAAAGACAGAGACCTATTCTCAAAGTAAAAAAATGTGCCTTTTGAAAGTAAAAACGATTAAAAAAAGACTATGAATATTGATTCCATTTTGACTTGATTCTGAAGTTCAAATGAAATGGAACCATTGGTTCTTAGGCTGCAGCTAGAACAAACAGGCGCTTTTACTGGTCAGGGGCAGGCAGCCCCATGTAAAGAATCTCTCCCGTGCAGTCACGCCAAGGTTCTGGTCTTGTTTCACTACAACGGAGAGCGCGCACAGGCGCAGGCCCTGGTGTGAGGGGAAGAGAAGGCGGGTGGAGAGGCATGTCCAAGAGCTTTCCCCGCCCTGCCTCACCTGGAGCTACCATTCCTATCGTTATCATCTCCACGATCTTTCCAGTCCAAGCACTAGCACTGCTTTTACTGAGAAGAAAATGATTTCGTGATACACATCATAAAGTAATCATAAAAGTCTCAAGCTTGTTCCCAAATCTTTACACCTGTGACTATTCTGACTGGCAAACAATCCAACTTGAAAGCATAAGCATTTGCGAGCTGCCAGTTATAAATTATATATTAAGGATAAGTTTTATCTGAAGACTTAAAGATCAAACTACTTACTTAAAAATCAAAAATTACCTTCCAATAAAAATTCTCACTTCTAGTTAAATTTTCCACTTACCTATTTATTAGAGAGAGTCTTTAAAGTCATTACTTAAACATGAGATGATTACTGGCACAATTTTGTGTGCCTCGAAGAACTTGGAGGGTTGAGAAGACCATTTAGTGTTATTTATCAAGGAGATGAGGCCTAGAGCTGCTGTGTCTTTCCAGGCTGCAGACCTAGAGAACACCCTGTGATTGCACTCAGTAGTTACTCTGCCAGGGGAGGTTGCAGAGTAAGCTGAGGTTCTGTCAGCGGAACCACAGTGCCATCTGCTGGCGAGAAAATCAACGTGTTTTGCTGTTTCTTAAATACATCTAAAACTTGTCCAGAGATAACTGTTCACCGATGATTTCAAAGTCTATATAAGACAGTAATTAATATATCGTGAAATTCTACATCTTAGTTCCCATATCTTGCATGATATTGAATTTTAAACATGATGTTTGTATTTTAAAACTATGAACTATCAATTGGGAATGAATTTTTTGTTGCTCTTCTTAAGGTTACTTCTTAGCTGGCCTCAGCATGCAAGGCTGTTAGGAGAAGGCTAGATGCAGGAAGGGGAGTGTGGAGAGTGCCCGTGAAGCCCTTCCTTCGCTGACACACACTCAGTTCCTACCTTCTGCTTCGTACTCCTCACTGCGTTGCGTTTTCCAGTTCTAGAGAAGGCAAGAGAAAAAGATCAGTGTACTTTAGACCTTCCTCAGTTTTCCCAAGACCAGATAGCATTCTGGCTCTGAAATCATCATCTGCGTGAGTCACATGACCCTAAGAAACACTGCACAACCTGTGGCAGTATTTCACCGAGGGTATGTCTCTCATGATTGCGACGTCACTTATTCAACAGCACCTTCTGTCACAACCAATAAAACCAAGCCAGAGCAAATATTCAGATTTCACCAATCAACAAGAGTTTGTATGCATGCACTGATGAATTTGTTCTTCAATAAATATTTATTGGGTGACAGGTATTTTGCTACATCTTTGGAATGCAACTATGAACAGGACGAACATATTTCTTGCCTCGAGAAATTTACATGCTAATGAAGACACAAAAACAAAACAAAAACAAAAGTATCAAACCAAGAAGTACAATATTGTAGTGTATTAAGTGCTATGATGGATACCTAAATGGGATCCTTCAGACTTGGGAGATCCGGGTAGACTTCCTGAAAGAATCAATTTCTAAACTGAGACCTGAAGGATGAGCAGGAGACGAACAAGGGAAAAAGCAAGGAGCAGCTACTATTTGCTGAAGCATGGAGGCGAGAATGAGCCTAGTGTGTTTGTGGCACAGTAAGAGGGTAGAGATGCAACCTCCCAAAAAAGGTAGGCTAGAAAGTTCAAATCTACATTGCTGATAAATTACATTAAAACCAGTGAAATGTATCTGACCTGGGCCATTTACTCCCTTATCGTGCTACGTTACTACTGAGTCCTTTCTGAGTCACAGCACACAGCTAAGCTTTGCTAGTGCACAGAAGTGCTCGGCCAGGAACACGAGTCAGAACCCAAATGCATGTGTTGCTCCGCTGGCCAACATGGCACAGGCCTGCTCCGAACAGGGGCAGCGAGCAGGTCTACCGTGGCCTTGGCCTCACCGACGAGCTGCCTAATCACTGCTTTTGGGAGATTCTACAACCATCACTGGAAACTCCAATGAGAAACGGTGTATCCCTCCTTTCAAAACCCAGCTGCCGTCTCAGCAAAGAGCCAACTTTAGGAATGAAACTGCCTTTCACAGCCAATAACCAGCCTGCTCTCTGTGACGGCTGAACTGTACAAGATGAACTGGTTTCTCAGAATCCTGGAAGAAACTAAACAGAAAGAGGAGCCCAGTTACCTCCTGTCTCCAGAGCGTGGATTCCTCACGGCAGGGCGTGTGCCACCTGCAATGCTTAGATTAAACGTTGACTTTCCATAGCTTGTTCAAGCTGATATGAGTTGAAGCACTTCCTTCGGGCGACCTAAGCACAACTACATACTTTGTTCCTCTCCACACTCACTTCGTCCTCTCCTCTTTACTGAAGGAGAACCGTCCACCAGGGCGTCATGGTTCCATGTTTTAGAAACATACTGAACATAGCACCAATTCAGAGAGTCCCCCGAATTTTGCCACACTAAACTGAAACCACAAACTGACAACGCTGAGGTGGGCTGTTCTTGCCATAGAAAAAAGACATCAAAGAGCTAAAACTCAAAATATACAAGTTCACTACAACTCATTCATATTACAACTGAAAGTCACTAATCCACACGGTATCTGTGGAAACTGAACCAGGGTGCAGTGTGGTTTTTGCTTGTTTGTTTGTGATTACAGTTTTATCAGCCCATATTTCCACACAAAGACCTATCTCCAACCTGGATATAAGCATGGTAACGGGAGGAGGGAGCAGGGAGTAAACAGTCCTCCAAAGACTTTCTTACACTATTGTTTCTGGGCAGAATTCAACTGTTTTTATATTTAAAAATTTAAATCAATAAAGTCTATCTATCTATCTATCTATCTATCTATCTATCTATCTATCTATCTATCTATTGTTAATCCTCACCTGAGGATATTTTTCCATTGATATTTTTGATAGAGTAGAAGGAAGGGAGGGAGGAAGGCAAGCCTGGAGAGAGAGACACATTGATTGGTCGCCTCCTGCATGACCTCAACTGGGGCCAGGATCGAACCTGAAACCCAGGTATGTGCCCTTGACTGGGAGTCAAACCCACAGCCATTCCATCCACAGGCTGACACTGTAACCACTGAACCAAACTGTCCAGGGCTCAATAAAGCCCCATTAATAAAAGCACCCTGCCTGTCTGGTCCTTCTCTACTTATTTCCTCATCCAACAGAGCACGTGATTTAAATGCTCATAATACTTTGACACCCCAATGTGCAAACTCATTTAGCATTATGAGTTGGACAAGCCCTAAAAGAAAATCCATTAAATCCACCTAAAACAAATTAAATGGGTTTCTATGGTCTAAGAACCATTTGGTCAAAATAAAACCTACCACCCGGCCAGTGTGGCTCAGTGGTTGAGCGTTGACCCATGTACCAAGAGGTCGCCGGTTCAATTCCCAGTCAGGGCCCACGCTCAGGTTGTGGGCCGATCCCCAGTGGGGGCATGCAAGAAGCAGTCCATCAATGTTCTCACTTAATCAGTGTTTCTCTCTCTCTCTCCCTTCCTCTCTCTCTCTAAAATCAATAAAGAAAATTATTTAAAGCCTGGCCAGTGTGGCTCAGTGGATTGAGCATCATCCCATGGACTGAGAGGTCCCAGTTCAATTCCCGGTCAGGGCACATGCCTGGGTTTGGGCTCAATCCCCAGTAGAGGGCCTGCAGGAGGTGGCTGATCTATGTATCTCACATAGATGTTTCTATCTCTCTTTCCCTCTCTCTGTAAAAAAAAAAAAAAAAAAAAAAATCAATGAAATATAAAAAAACAAAACAAAATTACTTAAAAATAAATAAATGAAACCTACCAAATCACACTCAGGGAATTTTTTTTTTTTTTTTAAATATTTTTTCTTTATTGATATTGAGAGGAAGGAAGGGAGAGGGAGAGAGACAGGGACATCGATGACAGAGAACATCGACTGGCCACCTCCTGCATGCCCCTCACTGGGGAGGGGCCCACAACCTGGGAATGTGCCTTGACCGGGAATTGAATTGGCGACCTCTTGGTGCAGGGTCCACACTCAACCACTGAGCCACACCGGCCAGGCAGGGTATGGTTTTTAACAGCACCAACTGACAGGAGAAATGGCAGGAGAATGAGTATCACTGGACATGAATAATGATGGGGAGTTGGAAAAATGCAAACACACCCTCAAAAAAATTATTGGTAACAATTCATAAAGCAACAAGGTGTGTATCTTGCTACACAAAAGCTTATTGTTTACATTTGCTCACTTCTCAATTCATTTTAAAATAGGGAGCAATTAGCTCAGAGGAGCAAGAGGCTACAATACACTGTCGCCAACATCTCCTGAGTCTCTGGGACTGGGTGCATGTATCTGATTCCATCCCCAGGGCAGTATTCCCTGCCCTGTTTTCCTGATTCTCACCCCTAACTGATGAGAGATTGAGTTATGGGGGTTAAAGTACAACACAGGAGCCAGATAGCCAGGCTCTGAATCCTGGCTTACCTATCAGATTGGGTTTGGACAAGTCTCTTAACCTCTTTTGCCTCAGTTTCTCCACCTATAAAATGGGGATAAAGTAATACATATTTTTCAGAGCTGGGTAAAATGCTCAAATTGTGACTAGTAAATAAGAATTTTATGTCTTATTTTTATTGGACATGTGTTTATGTAGTATATATTAAACTTATGTTTGCAATTTTTTTATTATGTTTAAACTTAAACCATTAATTTGGGTGGCCTTGGGGAGGTATCAATTATTTATATCAGTTTTTAAGAAAAATGCCAAGTCTCCAGCAAATATGCACAGAATACAAAACAGACAATTTGCATACGAGTCAACAATTAAACAAATGTGGGGAAAGGTTCATTTCCACAGCAATCAAAGAAGTAGAAAGGAAAACCAAGGAATCATTTTGTTCCCATTAAATTAGAAAAGTAAGATATTACTCCTATTACCATCAAGGTCATAATTTAGGCCTGTTTATGTTCCTGGTAGCAGTGTAAATGGATATTACCCTTTTAGTAAAGCAAATGACTAAATGTATCAAAAGCCATAACAATATTCATACACTTTGAACCCAGTCATTTCATATAATTTCTTATGGCAATAAAATCAAAGGAAGAATAAAAACGTAGACATAAATACATACATTTAGCATTTTTCTGTTAAGAGTATTGAAATAATCGACAATGGGCATAAAAGTATAATGACACATCACACTGTAGTCGTTAAAAGAATAATTATAAAACTATGTAGGAGTACAGAAAAACATCTTATGAAATGTTAAGCAAAAGACCACAACAAAAATGCTATCTATACTATAATTACTGCTGGCAAAAATATTTATACCATTAGACAAAGACTGGAAGGAAATAAAGACAATGAAGTAGATACATTTGTTTGATGGATTATGGGAAACAATTTTCTTTTCTTAACTGTTATAAGTGTTGTTTATACAATATAAATAAGTATTTCACTGTTTCTTGTGCCCACCTGGTGACAAATTCTCACTAAGTGGGTTCTGTGGCTTGAGGGTGTGGACAAAGGGACGCTCTTTCCCTCTAGTACTGACCACACTGCAGTGTCTGCAATGTCCTCTGACACTGTGACATGCAGAGACGGCCTGGTGGGAGGTCCAGGTGCTGCTCAGGAGGGTGAACACTGCTGGTACCACTGCCCCTCAAGCTTAGCCAAGTGTGGAAACCTCAGGGACACTCATCTGAGATCTACGCTGGGGACTGCGACCATGACCATCCACATTCTTAAGACAGCCTAACCCAGCGGCATCAGGTACACCACAACCTCCTCAACCCCAGGCAGCACCAGTAGCTTAAATATTTCACACAAACTCTTAGGGCAAGGGGTGGTGAGGTAAATCTCTAGGGGTAACAATTTTCCAAGTATCCCTCCCATGGCCCTGTGTGAGAACTAGATCCAGGGAGGACCAGGCCCTGTTTGGGAGAAGCAAGCTTATGCTAATAGCTACCTTACATTCCAGGACCACCTCAACTGGAGAG